TGTCCATTTTGTCCATTTTGTCCATTTTGTCCATTTTGTCCATTTTGTCCATTTTGTCCATTTTGTCCATTTTGTCCATTTTGTCCATTTTGTCCATTTTGTCCATTTTGTCCATTTTGTCCATTTTGTCCATTTTGTCCATTTTGTCCATTTTGTCCATTTTGTCCATTTTGTCCATTTTGTCCATTTTGTCCATTTTGTCCATTTTGTCCATTTTGTCCATTTTGTCCATTTTGTCCATTTTGTCCATTTTGTCCATTTTGTCCATTTTGTCCATTTTGTCCATTTTGTCCATTTTGTCCATTTTGTCCATTTTGTCCATTTTGTCCATTTTGTCCATTTTGTCCATTTTGTCCATTTTGTCCATTTTGTCCATTTTGTCCATTTTGTCCATTTTGTCCATTTTGTCCATTTTGTCCATTTTGTCCATTTTGTCCATTTTGTCCATTTTGTCCATTTTGTCCATTTTGTCCATTTTGTCCATTTTGTCCATTTTGTCCATTTTGTCCATTTTGTCCATTTTGTCCATTTTGTCCATTTTGTCCATTTTGTCCATTTTGTCCATTTTGTCCATTTTGTCCATTTTGTCCATTTTGTCCATTTTGTCCATTTTGTCCATTTTGTCCATTTTGTCCATTTTGTCCATTTTATCTATTTTGACCATTTTGTCCATTTTGTCCATTTTGTCCATTTTGTCCATTTTGTCCATTTTGTCCATTTTGTCCATTTTGTCCATTTTGTCCATTTTGTCCATTTTGTCCATTTTGTCCATTTTGTCCATTTTGTCCATTTTGTCCATTTTGTCCATTTTGTCCATTTTGTCCATTTTGTCCATTTTGTCCATTTTGTCCATTTTGTCCATTTTGTCGTCCATTTTGTCCATTTCCCATTTTGTCCATTTTGTCCATTTTGTCCATTTTGTCCATTTTGTCCATTTTGTCCATTTTGTCCATTTTGTCCATTTTGTCCATTTTGTCCATTTTGTCCATTTTGTCCATTTTGTCCATTTTGTCCATTTTGTCCATTTTGTCCATTTTGTCCATTTTGTCCATTTTGTCCATTTTGTCCATTTTGTCCATTTTGTCCATTTTGTCCATTTTGTCCATTTTGTCCATTTTGTCCATTTTGTCCATTTTGTCCATTTTGTCCATTTTGTCCATTTTGTCCATTTTGTCCATTTTGTCCATTTTGTCCATTTTGTCCATTTTGTCCATTTTGTCCATTTTGTCCATTTTGTCCATTTTGTCCATTTTGTCCATTTTGTCCATTTTGTCCATTTTGTCCATTTTGTCCATTTTGTCCATTTTGTCCATTTTGTCCATTTTGTCCATTTTGTCCATTTTGTCCATTTTGTCCATTTTGTCCATTTTGTCCATTTTGTCCATTTTGTCCATTTTGTCCATTTTGTCCATTTTGTCCATTTTGTCCATTTTGTCCATTTTGTCCATTTTGTCCATTTTGTCCATTTTGTCCATTTTGTCCATTTTGTCCATTTTGTCCATTTTGTCCATTTTGTCCATTTTGTCCATTTTGTCCATTTTGTCCATTTTGTCCATTTTGTCCATTTTGTCCATTTTGTCCATTTTGTCCATTTTGTCCATTTTGTCCATTTTGTCCATTTTGTCCATTTTGTCCATTTTGTCCATTTTGTCCATTTTGTCCATTTTGTCCATTTTGTCCATTTTGTCCATTTTGTCCATTTTGTCCATTTTGTCCATTTTGTCCATTTTGTCCATTTTGTCCATTTTGTCCATTTTGTCCATTTTGTCCATTTTGTCCATTTTGTCCATTTTGTCCATTTTGTCCATTTTGTCCATTTTGTCCATTTTGTCCATTTTGTCCATTTTGTCCATTTTGTCCATTTTGTCCATTTTGTCCATTTTGTCCATTTTGTCCATTTTGTCCATTTTGTCCATTTTGTCCATTTTGTCCATTTTGTCCATTTTGTCCATTTTGTCCATTTTGTCCATTTTGTCCATTTTGTCCATTTTGTCCATTTTGTCCATTTTGTCCATTTTGTCCATTTTGTCCATTTTGTCCATTTTGTCCATTTTGTCCATTTTGTCCATTTTGTCCATTTTGTCCATTTTGTCCATTTTGTCCATTTTGTCCATTTTGTCCATTTTGTCCATTTTGTCCATTTTGTCCATTTTGTCCATTTTGTCCATTTTGTCCATTTTGTCCATTTTGTCCATTTTGTCCATTTTGTCCATTTTGTCCATTTTGTCCATTTTGTCCATTTTGTCCATTTTGTCCATTTTGTCCATTTTGTCCATTTTGTCCATTTTGTCCATTTTGTCCATTTTGTCCATTTTGTCCATTTTGTCCATTTTGTCCATTTTGTCCATTTTGTCCATTTTGTCCATTTTGTCCATTTTGTCCATTTTGTCCATTTTGTCCATTTTGTCCATTTTGTCCATTTTGTCCATTTTGTCCATTTTGTCCATTTTGTCCATTTTGTCCATTTTGTCCATTTTGTCCATTTTGTCCATTTTGTCCATTTTGTCCATTTTGTCCATTTTGTCCATTTTGTCCATTTTGTCCATTTTGTCCATTTTGTCCATTTTGTCCATTTTGTCCATTTTGTCCATTTTGTCCATTTTGTCCATTTTGTCCATTTTGTCCATTTTGTCCATTTTGTCCATTTTGTCCATTTTGTCCATTTTGTCCATTTTGTCCATTTTGTCCATTTTGTCCATTTTGTCCATTTTGTCCATTTTGTCCATTTTGTCCATTTTGTCCATTTTGTCCATTTTGTCCATTTTGTCCATTTTGTCCATTTTGTCCATTTTGTCCATTTTGTCCATTTTGTCCATTTTGTCCATTTTGTCCATTTTGTCCATTTTGTCCATTTTGTCCATTTTGTCCATTTTGTCCATTTTGTCCATTTTGTCCATTTTGTCCATTTTGTCCATTTTGTCCATTTTGTCCATTTTGTCCATTTTGTCCATTTTGTCCATTTTGTCCATTTTGTCCATTTTGTCCATTTTGTCCATTTTGTCCATTTTGTCCATTTTGTCCATTTTGTCCATTTTGTCCATTTTGTCCATTTTGTCCATTTTGTCCATTTTGTCCATTTTGTCCATTTTGTCCATTTTGTCCATTTTGTCCATTTTGTCCATTTTGTCCATTTTGTCCATTTTGTCCATTTTGTCCATTTTGTCCATTTTGTCCATTTTGTCCATTTTGTCCATTTTGTCCATTTTGTCCATTTTGTCCATTTTGTCCATTTTGTCCATTTTGTCCATTTTGTCCATTTTGTCCATTTTGTCCATTTTGTCCATTTTGTCCATTTTGTCCATTTTGTCCATTTTGTCCATTTTGTCCATTTTGTCCATTTTGTCCATTTTGTCCATTTTGTCCATTTTGTCCATTTTGTCCATTTTGTCCATTTTGTCCATTTTGTCCATTTTGTCCATTTTGTCCATTTTGTCCATTTTGTCCATTTTGTCCATTTTGTCCATTTTGTCCATTTTGTCCATTTTGTCCATTTTGTCCATTTTGTCCATTTTGTCCATTTTGTCCATTTTGTCCATTTTGTTATCTTCATTCATTTTGTATTATGTAATTACCTATAGATTTAAAAAATTATATTAATTATTTTCCTTCTTATATTTCATAAGTAAATAATTAAATTAGTTCCATTGATATGCAAGAACCAATTAAAGATTTATAATTATCTTCTCAATTAATTTCCATTAAAATACTAGCATATACATATAATACCTTAACGCAATCTTTTAATTAAAATTCCATAATATTAAATACATATAGTTCCATCACGTTTCGGTGATTTCTTTTTCGCGTCAGTAGAATGTCGTAGACGCGTCTATGCAGTTTGTGTAGTCATGAACTAAACCGGTTTAAAAACCAGTATGGCGAATTCTACATATTAATGTAAAGAAATTTACTTCTATTTTAGACTGTTCAAAAACACGTATCGAAATAGATACAGTTGTTTTGAATAATTTTCAACTGCAAAACATGTTGCATAATGTAGCTGATTCATAGTGTGCACTGCAATTTATAACATGCATCGAATAGTAAATATTGTAAATGCAAAAATAAATCTAAAATATGAAAAATATTTGTAAAAATCTGTCGAAGATATTTATGAAAATCTTTTACTTCGCGTTATATCGCCGCATGGTATATAGCTGCGTATTCTATCGCTATATGACTGCGTGGTATACCGCCACAAATTTTACAGCTACGCATTACATCACCATGCGTTGTATGACTATGCGTTATATCGTCACACAATACATGATTACGTATTATATTGCCACATTCAGAAAAGTTTTAATAACGAAAATTAAAACAACGAAAAGAAATTAGTTATTTTTTCGTATACATCTGTACCATATTCGTCATTTTATTATCTTGTAGATTTCCTTTATTTCATAATTCTAGCTACGTTAGCTTGATTATGTGTTACAGGAAAAAGCATGCATTGTATTGTACATTACCACTCAAAATTTTATAGTACTATATATAATATAAACATAGTGCATTTAAATATCAAAATAAAATTATCAAATTATAAATACGCTTTAAAACAAGAATTAAAATTAATTATAATTAATTTATATTAATTGAATATTTAAATATTTGATAAGTTAAAAATATGAAATTTTTGAGCTTTTAGATTTCCAAGTTTGAAAATCTGGAAAGCTGAAAATTAAATATTAAATAAAATTAAATTAAAAATTTCTGCTCACAAATGCAAATTATAATCATTGGTTTGACCAGTTAAAATCAATAAAATGTAGTTTTATTATAATAAAAATATATGGTACAAACTTTTGTGCAAGCGTGTACTAACCGAAATAAATGCTGCGTAAAAAAGATTCATAAGTGCATTAATTAGAGCGTCTTTTATATTCAGTCTAACAATCGTTATAAGTCATTCAATTATCTTGTGAGAAATTCACAGGTATATGAAGATAATACGATTATCATGAACCACCTACACCATAGATCCGCCGGTAAAGAAATTCTACACGCTCCAGTATCGACGGAAACTTAACCTCACTATCGTGGAACGTCAACTGTACATTCAGTCACACGAAATGTCATGGGAATGTCTTAAAGGACAAGTAACGTTAAGAATACTGACATTCGTCGAGCGTTAATCTGTCTTACGCAACGAAACAGACTTATATTATTAATAATAACGATAAGATTACTCCCGTTTAGTCGCGTTGCGTCGCGTAATGAACGCGAAACAGCGCGTAACGATGCCTCCTCGACTTGTGCTGAGAACGAGCGTAGACCACGTACGGACTAGAACGTTCATACATTAGTTTCTTGTGAATCAAAGTGGCGTACGGTCACACGGTGAAACGAACGCGTTATTCGAACCTGCTTGTTCCACTGCTGTCTCCGCAAGCTGTATTCGTTCCACGATTTCGTCGCGTTTCGTGACAGTTTACGATTACCGAAATATGGGCACTGATTCGAACGGGACATACTTAGGGCTAGATCTCAGCACGCAGCAGGTAAATTCTTAAAAATTAATTCGTAATCTTCTACTTGTTATGATTCATATGTTTCTGTCTAATGAGTAATCTCTGTCGAACGTCACATATCCTCATCGTACAAAAAAACCTATGGTCGACACGAGTCATGGGTGACAGCTTGACAAGGTCCATTTCTCTCGCTCTTACTTTCCTCCAAGACGTTTATCTTTATTTGTGATCTTTCTTGTACCGGTTTTAATGCTTCACGTATCACGTAGAAATAATTGATGTAATTGTACAGTAGCAAGTCACAGAAAGTTGACATTTGTTGCTTTCAAGAGTTATTTTGTATCTTTATGATGCTACCTTACTGGCCCCTGCCGTATATCGTTCAGTGCGCATGCGCGCATTTAAAGCGCGTTTATTTTGAACTTACCAAAGAAAAATTGTTATTTAGAACGAATATTTTATTTAGATGCAGCTTTTTTTTATACAAATTCCATTTGTTTTTAAAGATTACGCAAATTTGTATTAGATCATGTATTTCAAGCTTAATGTGTATCTAAATCTTCATTCTTTTATCTTAAATATACATATATTTTCTAACAAGAACAGCTACTCTTGTTTTAAATATAAAATACTTTTTAAGATGTGATATTTAGAGCATATGTTTTAATTATTCTCTCCTATTATGCAATAAAATTTAAATTACTTTTAAATGTTTTCTTAATATTTTATCTTATCTCCACAAGCATATGTAACAGAAATAATTAAAAAAATGTTAATGTATACTCTGTGGAGGAATCTGTTTTGAAACGAATACGTAAGAGAATATAATTTATTTATAATTCATAGAACTTATAGTAATAAATTTGCTGTAATTTACCTTCGTATTTGGAAAGACATGTAAATACGGTACAGCTTATTAAAGTGATACATAAGCTCATCTTTGCTGATAGATAATAGTTTCGCAGTGTGTGACGCGCGTGGACTGGGTCACAATTATCTACCGCGACGATAACATTACGATAAAAGTGTGTATTTCTCCGTAGAGAAAAACGCGGAACACTAAAGCATTAGTTCAAAGAATAATTAAAATTGCCTAATACTTACGAACATTTTTCCACGCTCTGAAATCATTAAAGTTCCACTTTCTTAATTCTCCAAATTTTCAAATTTTGTAGATTCTTTATTTCTGATATTTTCAAATTTAAAGCTTCCACTCTTTTTTGCAATTCTCAAATTAAAATATTGCCTAATTCCCAAATTTTCCAAACTTTCAAATTTGGTGAATCCTAAGATTCCATTTTTTTTAAATTCCTAAATGACCAAATTCTCAAATTTTCGAATTTTTATTGTCAAAGATCACAAAGATAAAACAAGAAACGAGAGCAGCGTTAGATACAAAACGGAGGTGTTAATAATAAGAAAAACGAATTGTTCGTTCCAGTTGCAGTGACGTAGTCGTGCAATAAGTGAGCTGACACGATCGTGCAGCGATCGCGAGATGAATTGTTGGCGCAGTCACGAAAGGGCAGTCAGAAAGGCTGGTTTTGATCGCGTCGCCGAGATCCAGAGGCCCGGGGATCCTCTAATTCAGTCGGTACCCGGGGACAGGATCTCGCGGATTCTCTGTCCTATCAATTACGCAGTAGGTCGACGTGCAGCTAACATTCATTACAGGCAGAAAGGGTTTGCGCAACGCACGTGTCGCTCGATTTATGGACCGAGTCGGAGCATCGAGTCTCAGCGGGGACAGAATTATCGCGACGAACCATCTTACCTGTCCTCGCTTAGAGCGAACCTCGCGATTCAACGTACACGGTGTATCCAGAAAATTCGATATAGCGCCGTCGATAATCAGAGCCGATCGATCGATAAGCGTAGCCTTCGCTCTACATATTTATTTCTTCTAGCTGGACCTACTTTATTTTCGAATTAAGAATGGCGCTGGAAAATGAATATGTGAACGTATCTGTGTTGGGGATCTAAGGATATATCTTAGTTTGAAATTGAGGATGAAGATGAAAAATGAATATGCGGAGAGGTGTAAAGGGTTTAGCGTGGAATGTACTTTATTCTGGAATTAAAGATGAAGTTGGGAGATATGGGAGAGAACATATGTTTCTGTTGAGGATTGAATATTAAACTGTGGTATTTTGAAATTGAGATGGTGGTAAAAAATAAATATGTAAATGTATATCTGAAGGATTTAATAATGAATGTACCTTTGATATTCAGAATCATCTTGAAAAACATGAATATATGTTATTTTATATTATTAAACAAGCTGAAAAATAAATAAGCAAACTTTATAGTTTTGAAATGGATTGTGGACACTTGAATTTTATGAATAATTTTCATTTTTCAATTCTTGAATTTTTATATTATTTGTATTATTGAATTACTGAATTGTTGAATTATTGAATTATTGAATTATTGAATTATTGAATTATTGAATTATTGAATTTCTAAATTCCCAGACCCCTAAATTTCGAAATCTCCAAATTTTGCACCTTTTCAAATCTCCAAATCCCCAAATGGCTAAATTCCCAAATTTCTAAAACCACAAACTTAAATTCACCAAATTTCCAAAGTCTCAAAGTAAAAAATTTCCAAGTTGCAATTTTTTTGATGAGGCCAAACTCAAATTTCCTAAACTCCCAAACTGCAAAATCTCCAAATTTCTCAAAATCTAAAATTTCCAAATTCCCCAAAGTACACTTTAGAAAGAAATAATTCGTCTCATCCTACAATTTGAAAATCTCTGATCTTTCTATTAATAATTTTAATATTCCAAAAATTTTTCTCGAAAACTCCGCAAAGGTTAAGAACCACTGCCCTATTAAGTAACAGATGTAGAACTGCATATTTGTGATCGTGAAATAGTTGTTTACACGTTCGCACGATAAACTCACCAGAAGACATCGCATTGAATTTCAGATTTCGCATTAAATTTATAATCGCGTTTTGTAGGGTAGCGTAACTAATTAACTATATCTCCAGTAGAAACATTCTTGTTTTCTCGCGTAGATATACAAGATTAGTGGGTTAATAAATTAAAGACAGTTTTGGATATCAGGCAAAAAAGTGATTAACAAATATTTTTGGCCGTTGTAGTTGAAAGCGGTAGTCGTTGATAATAATCTCGCCGTTCTCCACGAAACCAGTGTACAATTCGACAATGATCTGCCAGAATTTAGGTATGTTTTATAGTTATGTCCCGATGCGCTTATGCATGTAATATTAATTTTTTTTTCTTGTTTATTTCAGTCCACTAAATTTTGCATCTTTTCTCAAACTTTCCTCGCCAGATTTGATCTTTTGAAATTGCATTAACACGATTAGTTTGTAATATCCGACGGAACACGACTTTTTCGTTTAATTACGTCAAGATTCGTATAAACAGATTTTAATATAATATTTAAGCAGAAACCGATTTAGAAGTAAACGAATTGCTTATTCTTGAAGAGAGAATCGATTTGCTGCTCGGGAAGCGTGGAAATTGCATTTATATTTTTAGTGATTTACAATGATAATTTATACGTAAATAATGAATTGCATATATAAGGTCTCTTACTACATTCTTACTCTTAATTTTAATCTTACTCTGAATCTTAATCAGTTTAATATATAAATTATGTTGTTGACTACAATGTTACTAATTAAGTTTAAATTGTGTTCTTAATAAAGTTATTTTTTAAGTCTTTTTAAAGCAACATCAATGATATAAAAATATGTAGTGAGGGTAACGTTAAATATTTAAAACATTGGATAAACGAATAAATGTGGCAAGCATGATTCTCTGTTTTTATCTTGGTTGGTAAAAAGCACAAGTTTCAACAAATTATCATTAAAAATATTGAAACCAGATATAGTTCATTTTGCTTCAGATTGGGGATGATTCTTTTGGCTTAATGGTGTCTATTTTAATAAATTTTCTCGTAATGGATCATTTCTTGATCAATTAAATATCACATGATTTTAGAACATACGGAGGAGTCGTTCAGAAAAAGGAGGAGCAACATGTGGTGGTGGCACCCACTTTGATGTGGGTTAAGGCCTTAGATATGATTCTCGATAAATTGCGAGTATGTGGTGTCGATTTTAGCAAAGTGGTCGCCATTTCAGGATGTGCACAGGTAAAAAAACATAACTCTTTAAACAATCAAGTTACTACAAACGTGTAGAAAATTTGATAATCCTTTTTACTCTTATGTGCGTAACTGACAATCTGGGTGCTCTTTTCGTTATTATTTTTAAACGTTTTTTATGTTCTTAGACAAATATCGCGAATCAGTAAATTAGTAAATTGGCAAATTGGAAAATTGGTAAATTGGTAAATTGAGAAATTGGTAAATGGGAAAATTGATACATTGGTAAATTGATAAATTGAGAAATTGGTAAATGGGAAAATTTATACGTTGCTGAATTGGCAGATTAGTAAATTGGTAAACTTGTAGATTAGTGGATTGATAGATTGATACATTGATACATTAATACATTAATGCATGGATACATTGATACCTTGATATATTGATATCTTTGTACATATACATTGATACATTGATACATTGATACATTGATAGGTTGGTAAACTCATAAAATGATCATTTTCAAATTTGGAAATCGATATTTGATATTTGTACAATATATTACGGAATTTTCAGCTTTTTGAATTTTCCAATTTCCAAGTTACTAAATTACTAAATCATTAAATTTGAAAATTTATGATTTCTCTGCGTCTTAAACGCTTTATCACTGTTCGCAATATGAACACCTGTGTCCGGCTCCTGTTTAACAGGCACTTATTTACCCAGCACTGTTCGAACTAAGCAATCACCTGTAAAAGCTTTCCCGAGTGTAATGACAAAGTAAAGATAAAATAAAATTATCACAGACAAATCTTGTTCCAGTATGTATACATATATGTATGTATAACAAAAATAGAATTCCGCAACTCTTAGACCTCCATGAACACGTACAGTTTTTAGCGTTTGAAAAGAAACGAAAAGTGTATGTATTAAATGATAACGTTATCTTTAATAATTATAATTGTAGCAACATGGCACAGTTTACTGGGGCAAGGGCAGTCGAAATCATTTGCAGCGATTGGATCCTGCAAAATTTTTACACGAACAGCTCCTCACATCTTTTTCGGTGACACAGTCACCCGTGTGGATGGATTCCAGCACGACTAAGGAATGCAACGTTTTGGAAGAAATCGTGGGCGGCCCTCATGTATGTTTTTTTATTTTATAGAAATTCAAGTCTTTGTTTCTGTCTCTTATTGAGTACTATGGAATGCTGCAACTGTTTCCCTTTTTTTGTTATATTTCTGATTGCATGCAGAATTATTCTATCAAACTAGGATAGATTTTAATCATAATCTCTATTATAATAATATATGTAATTTTAATAATAGTCTCAATTTTGGTAAGATTTAATTTTAATAAAAGTCTCAATTTTGGTAATTTTTAATTTTAATAATAGTCTCAATTTTAATAACGTTTAATTTTAATTATAAAATTAGTCTAGATTTTAATCATAGTCTCCATTATAATAATATATGTAATTTTAGTAATAGTCTCAATTTTGGTAACTTTTAATTTTAATAATAGTCTCCATTTTAATTATAAAATTAGTCTAGATTTTAATCATAGTCTTCATAATAACAATATATGTAATTTTAGTAATAGTTCCAATTTTGGAAATTTTTAATTTTAATAATATTCTTAATTTTAGAAACATTTAATTGTGATAATAATCTCAATTTTTGTAACATTTAGTTTAAATAATAGTCTCAGTTGTACTAGCATTTAGTTTTAATGGTAGTCTCAATTTCAATGACACATTTAATTGTTCAAACATTAGTCATACAAGGTTTTATACATATAATCAATTTAATTATCGAAGTACCACCATTTTTTTTCGTGTCTCATTTTTATTTTCACATGTAAACTTGCATTACTAACATACTCCTATCTTATAAAATAAATAAATGAAATTAAAAAATCTATTTAAATTATAAACGTATACATTTCTTTCACAATTTTTAAACATAAATGCATTCAGTTTGACAGTCTATAAAATAATTTATTCGGACAATACAAACAGTAGTCTTTCTTACTTTTAAGAAAATAATTTTATTCCTTTTTCATTACAAAAATATGATAAGAAAGATTTTTGCCTCCACTGACTTTTTATAAATTTTCTTCTAGTTTGAATTAATTTTCCTTGTATCATAGAAAATATCTCGAAACGCGTTACCATTCAAGAATTTGTTAATAATAAACGCATGGCATTTCTCAGATATCTTCAAACGTAATTTCCATGAATATTCATGCATGAAGGAGAATTAATTTGCAATTTACATTCGTTGCAAGACCCACCAGTATAGCTTTTATCATAGTTTCTGATCTTATTGACACGGAACATTTTTTTTAAATTCTCGTTAACTAAAAAATGATGGAAAAAAAGAAATCTTTAGAAGGGTATCGTCTCCACTTTTTTTTATTTTTTCAATCATTTGAATTCTGTGTCGCGCAGATTCGATCTTTTTGTACAATCGATCAAGCATTTTATTGACTTTGTTTCTGACCATTAACAATGGAATTGCTGTTAATTAATGTCCAAAAACGTCGCGCGACTTCATGGATCGACGCCATGTTTTATAGACTAAGATAAAATCAGCCAAAAAGAAAGATAATTTTTCGTTACAAGATTTTACTGTTATATTTTATTTAATAAAATTCATGATTTTAAACACATGGATGTATTCAATAAGACAAACACAAATTTTAATTAAAAGAAATTTTCGAGTAATTTTTGCGTTAAAGAAACCTTGGTATCCTTTTTAAAAATTGTAATCTTCTTTGTAAATTCTCGTTTTAAATATAAAACAAAACTTACAATATGTAAGCATAAAGATAGTGGTCACAACTGTCGATACAAATAGTTTTAAACAATTATTAATCTAATAAAATTCGGTTTCTTTTATACGAGGAGTTATCATTTTCTTAAATATTGTATAGAATAATGTATTGTCGTCTATAAGAGTTCGATTTTGAAAAATTGTTCTACAGTCCCTGGCCATTGAATTACCACTATAAATTTTCAGCATTTTTCACGTTTTCCGTAAAATTAAAAGCCCCGTTCAAATTGTAATTACACAATTTATTAGCTAATATCATGATACACTATTACAGTACTGAACATTATTAACATGTTAATATCTTGTATTTCCACCCTTTGCTTTTACCCTTTCTTTTTATATCTTTTTTATATTTTCACTACTTTCCCAAATATCTGTTATTCTTTTTAACTCAGATAATGAAGTTGGAGGGTTGTAAACTAGTCTTTTGAGTAAGCAAATTTGACCTCACACGCTTTCGACACTCGAGTCTAAATGCACGGCACTTAATCACTCGTCACACAATTTATTATCACGATAGTAACAAATTGCTATGCATGTATCGTTATCAACGCATTCAGTAATAATTTGCGAAATAATGTTATAGCCATAAAAGTAAAATTTTCGTACGTGGTTCTAATTCGATGGCCAGTGTACAACTTCCATGATCGTACTACAAATTCGATCACAAGAATCGTGTCACTAATACAGTATCGTAATCGTAGTACAGTTTCAAAGCATACACTTCAAATGGTCTTATAGAATCATTGAACTACCTCACAATTAACTCATTCACTAATTACCACAATAATCAATTGTCTTCGATGCGAAATTGTTGCTGTTGATTGCAGAAATTGGCGGAGATAACGGGATCTCGAGCGTACGAAAGGTTCTCAGGACCTCAAATAGCAAAAATAGCTCGCAGGAGACCGGAAGCCTACAACAATACTGAGGTATTTTAAATAATTTAAATGTTCATGGTATTTTAACTAACTTAAATGTTAGAAAAATTTTAACTTAAATGTTCATGGATTTATTCGACAAAAAAAACTAAAAACAGTTGAACGAAGTAAATAATACATGTAGCCCTATTTCTTCACTTCTGGTTAAATAGTCGTCTAATCTAGTTATTGGTACTTCTATATTAAAAATCTAATTTACTAGAATATAGTAAATAAGCGAATGAATAATATTTTGGTTTGTAATTAATAGACTGCGGATGTTTATGCATTTATGATGTAAAGGTCTGCAAAATGTTAGATCCACAATCTGTAAATTACATAATTTATGTTTATCTTGTAGACTTCGATATATCAAAAACGGACAAACATTCGCGGTCTAATAATATGTCTATTTAGGAAAAGTTCTATTAATTTGTGAGTACAGTGAAGAATAAATATACTTTCCCTAAAAAGAAAACTGTAAACAGCGGTTTAAGGAGCATTCCATAAGACTGATTTCTTGTGAGATTTTTGAGGATTTGAAAAATTTTAAATGTGTTAAGAGTTAGAAGACATGGAAATGTATAGAGATTTAAAAATTAATGAATATGGAAATTTAGAAATTTAGGACCTCAAAATTTTGGTGCTTAGGAATTTAGGGACTTATAAATTTCAGGAGGTTGAGATTTTGGTTTATAGGAATTTGACAGTCTACAAATTTCAGGTCAAAGAGATTTTCAGATCTAGGAATTTGGGAATCTTTATATTTGAAGATCTAGAAATCTGGGGTCGCAGAAACTTGAAGAACCAGGAATTTAGAGACTTATGAATTTTGGAATTCCGGACTTGGGGATCTAGATACAATATATGAGAATTTAGAGATTTAAGAGTTATAAATTTGGAAATCTAAAAATTTGGGGAACTTGGAATTTCTAAATTTCCAAATTTCAAATCTTAAAAATTACAAGATTCGAATATTCAAAAACTTGAACATTTAGAAATATAAAAATATACAATGAATTTATAAACTTCCAAAGTAGTACATTACGTGTTCTTATCCTAAGAAAAGCACCATTGTGGACATACTATAAAATATTAGATATGAAATTTCAAACTTCCTTATTGTGCCTTATATACTATTTTACCCCCAAAATTATAAATATGCACTTGAAAACAGTGCATTGTATTATGAATTTGCTTACCGCAAGATTTACGGAATCCAAAATGGCGGATCTCAAATTTCCTATTCTAAATTACGAAAATTATTAAGAAGTTTTTATCCAAATGTAATTGTAGCCTTTGTCGAGATAAAAATTCATCGTACAATTTGCATATTATTTATACTTAGTTCATTTTCAATTTTAATACAAGTGATCATTAATCGTCCATAAATCCAGACTTAAAGTGCCAATAATTAAATAGTGTACCCTACTTTGAATTCTGCGCGAGGAGGCTCATTAGTTTCACAGAAATCGAATAGCGAACTAACGTGGCTGATAAGAACGATTACTGTTGCCTGTTTGAACTGTTCTCTTCAATAGATACCGTGTTGCTCGATGTCACTCTATTTAGGTCGTTCTTATTGCGATTGCAGAAAAACTGCTGCCATTAAAGATTAAACGGATAATACGGTGCGAGCGTTGGAAAAGTTGCTGTTAAAGATATTTTGTTAAATTAACGATTGCATTTTTGAGATATACATATGATCGTGGTTGGTAAGACTGTTTCTACAAAATTTCGTATTTTTATGACTGCGTTCTACCTATCGCTTACTGATAACGCAATTAAATGCTAATGTTAGAGATATGCAAAGGCTGCAGTTCTGTTGGAAGTTTTCGCTTTATTTTGATTTTACGTGTGAAGTATGAATCAAATTAAATTAGATATGCAGATTGGACAAACTTGATAAGGATCGCAGATATACAGATTAAATTTATTTAGTTAATTTTACATTATGATATAATTATATAATTACAATTATTATTTTATTTATGTAATTATACACTTGCAATTATTATTTTATTTATATAGTTATATAATTGCAATTATTGTATTATTAACATAATTATACAATTCAAGTTAAAAATTAAGTCTTACACACATCGTATCTGCGTCATATAACAGACGAATTTTTATGGATTAAAGGTTTGTTACTTTTCGTTTAATCAATCAAGTGTTTCAGTCTATCACAAGATCTATAATGCAATTATTATAATTGTAGTATATTACATTATTTGTATGTGCTACAAATTGTAAATACAATTGTTTGTATGTATCACAGTTTGTACAATTTATATCATACATTAACATTGATTTATACATATATACATTGTCAGTGAAATTATGCATTATTTGTTTTCTTGTTCAATTCTTATATTGCAATAAGAACTGTATTATTAAGAATAATTTTAGTTTTATTTTTTACTACTTTATTAGTAAGTAGAGTTTGATTATTGACAATATAATCCCTACAAGAATGAGGGATTAATTCCTAAATTAATACTACATAATACTGTTTGAAATTAACAAATATAAAATTAAGATTCTTATATATTACCCACAACAACTAAGAAAGAAACATTATTTAGACAAATTTTATTTTCTACATAAAAATATACCTATTTCTGATTTCTTCCAGCGAATCTCTTTAATTAGCAGCTTTGTGGCGTCTTTATTTTTGGGCGACTTCGCGCCCATCGATTGGTCCGATGGATCTGGAATGAACTTGTTAAATATTCATACGAAAGACTGGGATGAAGTGTTGCTAGAGGTAATATATCACCGATCATTATAATAATCGATTGATAAATAATTAATCATATCCAATTTCAATTTCATGGGATAACACTATGTAAAACCGTTTTACAATAATTAATATTAATTCAAGATGCATGTAGATTATTTAAATTTGCTTTCATTCTTGTGTGTATAAATCTTTTCAATTTGCATTTTTGCAAATCTCGTTCTGCACGTCAAGACAAATAAACAAAAAACATATTAATATCTATGGTATAGATACATCTTTTTTGTGCAAGAGAATTGTTCGATTATACTGAATCAAGTGTGTAGTTAAACAAAAACTCTTTTTTAATTTTAAATATAACTACGGATGTAGAGACGTAGAGGTACAGGAATGTAGCAGTATCAAAAGATAGGAACATGGGGACATATTGCTATCAAGATATAGGTATATCAAAACATATCGATGTACTAGTGTTTCACAACTAGTGTAGAACCTGAAATGGGGAGTAGCTGACGTGATTATGAATAAGATTTCCCTTCGCAAAAATGGGGTTTGAAGCTTTGTTTTTGAATTATTAAGGAAAAACATGGACCAATCAGAGCGTGAGTTTAGCGGCGCGTAGTAATTCGACGCGTAGTAATTCAACGCGTGATAATTCGACGCGTGGTAATTCAACACGTGGTAATTCGATGCGTGGTAATTCCACGCGTAGTAATTCGACACGTGGTAATTCATAATTCGACGCGTGGTAATTCAACGCGTGGTAATTCGACGCGTGGTAATTCCACGCGTAGTAATTCGACGCGTGGTAATTCAACGCGTGGTAATTCGACGCGTGGTAATTCCACGCGTAGTAATTCGACGCGTGGTAATTCAACGCGTGGTAATTCGACGCGTGGTAATTCCACGCGTAGTAATTCGACGCGTGGTAATTCAACGCGTGGTAACTCGGCGCGTGGTAATTCGACACGTGGTAATTCAACACGGATAATTCGATGCGTGGTAATTCCACGTGTAGTAATTCAACGCGTGGTAATTCACCGCGTGGTAATTCCACGCGTAGTAATTCAACGCGTGATAATTCGACGCGTGGTAATTCAACACGTGGTAATTCGATGCGTGGTAATTTTACGCGTAGTAATTCTACGCGTAGTAATTCAACGCGTGGTATTTCGACGCATGATAATTCGGCACATGGTAATTCTTCCTAGGTAATTCATGTTGGTATCTGGCAAATTAGAAATATATGTCTCAATATAATACACAATAACTCATTTCAACGTTAGAATACATACAATCACTTATTATAAATAAAATTAATTATTTTCTTGAAAATTTTTATAAATCATTATAAATTATTTTTATAAATCTTGTGAAGTAAAAGTAACCATAATTAAAAGAATGTAATTATATTAAAATCGAAAAAGAGTTACACTACAGTTTTCTTTCATAATTTATACTAACACTTGTTAATCAAACCTGCTTAATTTACGATCACAATTTAACGATTAATTTATGTAACAAAAATTTAAAATAATTCTAAATTATCTTTTTAATTATCTTCGCATATCTCAGCACATGATATTTCAAGAAAAATTAAACTATTTAATTATTATCATTTTTTAAAGTTGTCAGAGAAAAATATTATAGCAACAAGGTTAAATGCTAAACCTATGTAAAACGTATATTTCAGAACGGGTTGCGTTAGGATAATTAAAAACATTTCGCTTATCTAAATTATATATTGCATGTACTTTTTTCAATATCCACAATCGAATTGCTGTTTGCTCAGGCTTGCGCTTCAGGTTTGAGAGAAAAGCTAGGTAAACCTGTTTTCTCGTGCAGCGATATCGGCCCAATTTCATCCTATTTCGTAGAAAGATTCGGCTTCGACGAGGCATGCAGGATAATTGCGTTCACGGGTGACAATTCAGGTTCTCTGATAGGTAAGCGATACTGGTACAGTCGGCAGCAAAGCTGGTTTCTCCGAGGGAAATTTAAAAACCTCCGAGAAAATGCCACTCACTTTTTTAAATTTAATTAATACATTTCCAGATTTTCAAGTTTGGAAAATTTAGAAAGATTTTCAAAGTTTAGAAATTTAGGAATTTGAGAATTTGAAAATTTAGGAAGTATTCTAAAATTTGACGAATTGGATATTTAGAAATTTAAGAACTTGGAAATATGGAAATTTAAACTTAAATATTAAAATAAATTTAAATATGGAAATCTAAAAAATATGAAAATTTCAGAATTATGAAATTTGATCATTTGGAAATTTAAAACCTTGAAAACGTACAAATATAGAAATACAAAAATTTAGAAATGATTTAAAGATTTTCAAATTTACTACTAATTTCGAAATTAAAAAATTGTTGTGTTCACATATTTATACTTATCCAAAGGTAGTCTATGATGCATTCAAGTGTACTCCGGGTTTCATGTTAATCCCACGGTTTCAGACACCGACATATTTCGCTTTGAGGCGACAGTATCAATTTATACGCACTATTTCGCCTCCTGACGACAAGTTTTGATCCCGAACGTTTGATCTCTCATGAATATTCACGCAAATAAGGTTTCCAATTTGCCGCGCAGACTTTCGACTCCCATGGTAAATGATTTATGAGGTTTTTCATTCAAACAGTAACTTGCGATCTATCGTGTTAAGGGAACCGTTAAATAATTTTCGTGTGGTTTGGTATTCTGATTTTATCATTAATGTACAGAAGTATTCGATAATTTCAACGAAATTTTGGTAGAAATTCTATTTTAGCAAATCTATTTTATTTTACTTAATTTTCCTTCATTTTATATTGTTTTATTTTTTATTATATTTACATTTAAGACTATGATTCCTTACTAAGTTTCTTTGCTTATAATTACTTAATATAATAATTATTATTAATAGAAATAACTTTATTTACAGTTGTTTCAAGTGTTAATCAAATACAATCAAATTTTTGTAATACAGTGCACCTGTAACGCTACTCACTCCTGCAGCCACCTTACGAAACAAAATTTAGATAGAACAATATTTGCAGGGAAAAAAGTTTAAAACAATATTTGCAAGGTATGAAGTGCAGAATAGATATTAGTAAAGCAAATTTTTAAAACAGTTTGTTCTCTTGGCAAAGTCAAGGTAACCTTGGGTTTTTTAAATAGAAACATACATTTTTTATATTCATAGCTTTAGACGACATCGCGACGAATTCAAAACATATATTACATGATATTTTTATTAACATATTACTCGATTTACAGAAGAGGAAATGTAAAGTACTTAGCTTTTGACTTTAATAGTGTAACTATTATTTGATTCCGAAGAGATTACTGAATGTAAACACGCGACTAGAATGCAAGAAAAATGCATTTTATTTAATTACATGTTCAAAATACATGCCGCCTTCCATCACGTAATATTCCGGTCTTTTACTTCACATTTCCACTTCTATAAATCGAGTAATATGTTAATAAAAATATCATGTAATATATGTTTTGAATTCGTCGCGATGTCGTCTAAAGCTATGAATATAAAAAATGTATGTTTCTATTTAAAAAACCCAAGGTTACCTTGACTTTGCCAAGAGAACAAACTGTTTTAAAAATTTGCTTTACTAATATCTATTTGCACTTCATATCCTTCAAATATTGCCCTAAACTTTTTTTCATAAAGTGGCAAGTGGGAGAAAAATCGCGAGTAGCATTACAGGTAACACCCTGTATATTTATAAAATATTAGCTTAACTTATAAATCTACAAATACACTCTATTTTACAAGTATCAATAACTTCATATAGCAACATCGCTAAAAATAATACAATCGGTAATTAATCCTCCAAAACGAAACTTTTGCGAATCTTCCACGTTAGACCATAAAAATGCTAATTCCCACGAACCGGTTTCTTTCACGCTAATGTCGAATACCGGTATTTTAGCAAATTGCAACAAACTTAATAGCGTATAAAATATGTCGTAATTCTATTTAAACAAGATTACATTTCAAAACATATCAAAATTTCATACGGAATTTGTCACAAGTTAAAATTAAATTTATTGCGATAATGAAATAATGTCAAAAATCAGATAATATTTATTATAATTCGTTTATTGATGTGTAGGAATGAGACTGAAGGAAGGAGATATCGCTTGCAGTTTGGGAACGAGTGATACTTTGTTTTTGTCATTGAACAAACCGAAGACTGTCTTGGAAGGACATGTATTCTGCAATCCAATTAACGAAAATGCTTACATGGCATTACTTTGGTAAATATACTTTACTTTGAATTTTATTTCCAACTTTCTTACTGAAATTTAACTTCAATCGATAAGAACACTTTAACCCTCTTTTGAACATTTTTTTGTTGCTTTACGACCATTGCTTAAAACGTGTTATTTTAGTAAAGGTTCTGCTGTTAACTGGCGGTTAAATTTTAGTTAAATCTGTTCTTGTAATAAAAAAACATGGTTAGGTTTTATTCTTGTAATAAAAAAACTTGGTCAATTTTTTGTTGCTTTACAAACATCACTTAAAACGTGTTATTTTAATAAAAGTCCTACTGTTAATTGGCTATTAAATATTTAGTTAAATTACAAAAAAATAAAATAATTTTTACTAAGAGATAAGAATAATTTCTACTAAAATTTGTGACGATATAACAAGAATACATATTGTAACGATATAATGCATTAGCAGTATTTCAATGATGAATTTACAGTTTTAAAAATGGATCTCTAACTCGAGAAAGAATACGGGACACCGCAGCTCAGGGTTCTTGGCAAATTTTTAATGAGTTATTGGAAAGCACGCCACGTGGTAATTTCGGAAATTTGGCGTTATACTTCGATGCACAAGAAATATTACCGTTCGTCATCGGTGATCATAGATTCAACAAAGCTAACGATGAGATTTCGCGGTATAGCTCGAAAGAGGTTGAAGTGAGAGCTTTAATCGAAGGTCAATTCGTCGCGAAAAGAGCTCATGCTGAAGACTTTGGTTTTGTTATTGGTAAGATTATTTTGTAATCTTTCAGAAATAACTTATGAATCGATTATTCGTTGAAATTTGAGAAACAATAATAATTATGTAAAAGACTATATTTTTGTAAATTGTCAAACATTTGTTTTTATCTTTATATTTTTTATAGGGCCTAATACACGCGTCATTGCAACAGGAGGTGCGTCTACAAACAAAGCCATACTACAAGTGCTTTCCGATGTTTTTAATTCCCCGGTGTATATATCGGTAATAATTGATATTTATTTATTAAATAATATAACAAAATGTGTTAGTTTTAAAATTCTGAAATTCTGAAGTTTTGATATCCAAAAATTCTAAAATCTCAAGATTCAAGACTCCTAAAGTATAAATGTCCCAAGATTCTAAACTTTCAAAGTTTCTATGTCTTAAAAATTTAAACTCCCAAAGTTTCAATGTTCCAAATTTCCAAACTTGCAAAATTTCTATGTCTTAAAAATTTAAACTCCCAAAGTTTCAATGTTCCAAATTTCCAAACTCCTAAAGATTAAATATCCCAAAATTTAAAAATTCAAAAATTTCTATGTCTTAAAAATCTAAACTTGCAAAGTTTCAATGTCCCAGGATTCCAAACTCCCAAAGTTTAAATGTCCTAAAATTCAAAAATTCTAAAATTCCAAACTTGCAATTTCCAAAGTTCCAATACTCTAAAATTTAAAACTTCATTCTCTAAAAGTTTCTTCTTCTAATAAATTAAAAGATAGACCTATATTTTTATCTACTATGTCAAATTACAGTATACATTACTGAAGTTAGCATGAAGCCCTTCGAATATGTTCCTCATTAATCCTCGTTGCCAAAATTCTACACAGTGTATGTTTGCTTAATACTTTGTATTCACTTCTAACAGGAGATAGCTAATTCGGCGATGATGGGAGCAGCCTATCAAGCGAAACACGGTTTGTTGCGAAACGAATGTAACTTTGATGAAATAACACGATGCTTGCCAGAACCGAAGCTAGTATGTCATCCCTACGATGACGCAGAATCAGTAAGTTAAAACCTGAGCACATTAGAACCTCTTCGCTTTTTTTCAATTCTTGAAAATAAATTTTCTTTGCATTTTCAGATATACAAATCGATGGTCACACGTTATCGGAAAATAATAGAGCAAATTAAAAAGAAAACAAATTCGAAGTAGAATATGTAGGTGATATTACATATTCAGATACAAGCATTTAAAACGAAGAGGCCTTCACAATGCATAATGTTAGCTTAAGAAAAGAAAAAAGATAGGAAAACGTTCTCGCATTTAATGCATTTCTTGTTGATATTTTTAGATTTTTATACAACATTTTATGAGCATTTTTTAGAAGCTTTTAAGCTTTAAATATTAAAATTTTAATTGATTTGAATTTTAGTAAGTCTTCTTTACTTCCTTTTTAACCTTTAGAGTATGGAGCCTAGCTTGGAATAGTAAATGACAAAAATCGCTTAAATCCTACAGTAAAAATTTATTAGAATAGCCCTTAAAATTCATTTTCTGATATTTTATTATTATATTAAAATTTAACGTCTGTTTCTATAAAAATAGTACATTTTAGTAGTCTCGAAGCCCTCCATTCCGTACTCTAAAGGCTACAAAAAAGTTTTTAACACGTTGACTGTCGTGGACGTCATCAGTAAGATTCAAATTTTGTACAGTCAAGTCATTAGTAGAAACAGGAGTTCAAAACTAAAGTAATGTTTCGAAATCTCAATATTCTAATCTTCCAAAATCGTAAAATTCAAATATTACAAAGTTCCAAAGTCTAAAATTAATTGTATGAATAATAATTATAATTAATATCTTAATGCCTTATAACGCATATTCACTTTGACTTCGTCAATCAACGTGTTAGAAAATAGTGCAACAAAAGCAGATTTTATTGCTGAAAAACATACTAAACATTAAACGTTTATATATTTTGCAACTGCTCTTCGAATATTTTATTAAATAACTAGTTAAATATCAATCGCTAATGCCTTACTGATAAAAGTACAAGGTAACCTAAGTGCAATTTTTAAAATAATAACTGAGCTTATAACTCGGAAACTAATTTTGTATTTGTATATTTATAAATTTTATTATATTATACAAGATTAATTTATTAAATGCTAACTTATTACAATTATGAAGTAAAACAGATAACTGTAATGAAGAATTAAATTTGATTCCATTTAAAATGTGTTTTATTTACCTTACAAAATTATAACACTGATTGCTAATATATTTTTTCAATTTTTCAGGAAAGAGAAAATTGATTTTTACATACAGACAGTGTAAAATTTTTGACATATATTTAAATATGTATTTATCTACTTTATTTTTTCCTACCACCTCTTTCCTTTGGAAATAGATTGATTACGTTACCAGATGTTAAATTGTAGTATGCGAGAGTGTTATTATCTTTGAAGAACATTCCCTAAAAAAACACAGCAAAAATATATTATTATTGAACACAAGATCGTTATTGAAAGCTTGTAAAAAATAAATAATTTATATTATACCTCGTACTGCAACTTCTGTTTGCCAGGTGGCATACCAGTTTGTTCATGAATTAGGGCTTTCATTGTGGATACAGTATCGCTTACTTGTAAAGTAATATTCAATGTCTGGCCATTCAATTTCCATTCTGCTTTCTCCGTCATCATTGGCACAGCTATACTCAACTGAACAGGACCCTAAAAAATAAATAATCATTTTTTAATAACTGAGAATCCTAAAGTTATAAACATGTATACCATACCTTGTTCCTAGCCAAGAATTGTTGTTCGGGTATTAATGAATCTTCCGTTCTCAATTTCTTAGTCTGAGGTTCTTCTTCCATTGGTTCATTAGGATGCTTCAATCCCATCTAAAAATATAATCAGATGAATATTAAAAACTATTTTTTACTCAAATATCAAATACTCAAAGTTAGGAACACTTACAGCGGACGTCATTGGTGGTTGCATGGGAGGTGGTGTTGGCATAAATGGCGACATTGCTGGTGCTGATAGCAAATAAATAAAAATATTAGTATAAATGAAACTATAATATACTTACTAAAAATTTATAAACTTACTCATAAGAGGCGGTGGCCGAATTGGAGGCATAGGTGCCATCATCATCATCGGTGCTTGTGGCATCATCGGTTGTGGAATACCCATAGTAGGCATACTCATGGTTGGAGGTGGTGGTGGTTGCGTTGGGACCGGTACAGGCTTTGGAGCTGGTGGTTTAGGTGGTGCTTTCAACGTAGCTTGAGGTTTCGAAGCTGCTGCAGCCATATGCGACAGTTCAGCTGCACGATTAGCGGGTTTTGGTCCGATCTTTTCTTTCTCTTCATCCGGAAGAAGTCCCTTGACTTTATGTATTTGATGAATTTGTTCTTCCAGAGTAATATTTGCTCTTGCAGCCCTGGTTGCTGCTTCCACACTCGACGTGTGACCGTCCCACGTGACTTTATCATCCTTCTTTTTGTCTTCTTCCCCGATCTTTTTACCGATGGCAGTTTCCTCATCACCGACACCGAAAATATCCGTACGCCTTTCGGCAAGTTGCTTCAAACTGGCTTCAATAGCTGTACCAGGTGCAAATACTGTTTCTTGAGCCAATTTGTCGAGATGTTTGTCTCTCTGTTCAACCCATCGTGGATCCAATAATCCAATTCGCATATGCTCTTGAACTTTACTTGCCGGTATACGTTCTCCCGTAATTGGAGATATCAAATACTCATCAGGCGCAGCAGGACGTGCAACTTTGCTCCCTGTAAAGATAAATATAATTTAATATGACTTACAAACATGATGTTTCTAATAACTGCGACAAACTATATGTTTGAAATGAAATCTGATCGTTTACTTTTGGGATACCCTGTATGTTGTTTACTTACCATGTTGTTTAGGATCATATCCTTTCTTTACAACAACATTTCCTGGTGTAGGAGGTAACGGTGGTGGCTGCATATTATTGCTATCGCGTGGTTTCGATTCTTTGACCTTATGAGTATCACCTGGCGGTGATACATCATCTTCATCGCTCGAGTCTTCCTCCATATCTTGCACCTTAAAATATAAACATTATATAGGTATTATATAAGTACATAGATATCTCAAATCTTGCACTTTTTTGAGTTAAGTTTTTGAACACGTACTTTTGAAATAAGTACGTAATATATGACAGAAAATACTTACTTGATTATTATCTTTTGCACGATCTTTTTCACCTTCTGTTCGATTTTGCATTTCATCTTCTCCTTCACTATCAATTTGCATTTCAACATCTTCGCCTTCTTCTATTCTTTCCTACAAATATAATTCATTGAGAACAGAAGATTTATAACTGTACAATAAAACAATGGAATATAAACCACATTTTATTACCTGCATTAGTACTCGAGCACCAACTTCATCTGGTGTTGTTGGTGCTGGGAAATTACCAACTTCAAATTGCTGATAATCAACAGTTTCAACTACAACAAAATCATGCCAATCAATTTGTGCATAAGCAACTCTTTCACGTTCCAGCTCTTCTTCTTCTTTCCGCCTTTGAGCTTCTTGGTATTTTAACCACTCCGCACGGTACTTAACTTGTTCTAAAATTTTGTCCATATTAAATGCTTCATCACGAAGACGTGGTAATAAATCTTTGGGAGGAATTAATACCTGTAAATTCATACCAGTTTAAATAAATAATTAAACAACAAGGTTTAAAGTGCAAAAAAAACCATACCTTAGTATATTGCTCTAAAAGTTTTGTGAAGTACTGAAACAATGAATGTTGAGGTCGTAAGAAATCAAATTGAAAATTTCTCTGTTCCCTATTCATCAAGTTAGTTAAAAACTGACGACCATTACGAGCTACAAACTGAGCTGTTAACTTAACAATATCCCTAGAAAAAATGAACATTTAATTTATGATGCATCTTAATAAATAATTATGTATGATCCATAAAAATGAATCAAAACACATACAAATCCAAAGCTGAAATAGAAGGGGGATCAGCAATGAACTCAAATTCTGCAGGTGGATCTTTAGGAACAAATGGTTGCTCCACTTGTTTTAAAATTTCTTGCTGTTTCTGATGAGCTGCAAGATTCACTGCCTTTCCAGGTCCAGATCCTATTGATGGTTCTTGACCTTTCCCTTCCTTAAATTCTTTTACTTTATGTTGGTAATATGCATGGTATGGATCACCAAAATTCAAGAAATTAAATTTTGGATTTCCCAGTTCATTTTGTCTAATCCTTGATTCAAATTCTGGTCCATTTCTAGCCACAAAACTGGCCGTCTTGTCAACGATATCTAAATTTTTACATAAGGAAAGTTACGCTTGGATTAACTCTTACATAAATAAAGTATTCATATAGATGTAACATTGCGCTTTACAAAAATAAGCAACAATAGTTGTTCATAACCAACAACTATGAAAACAATTTGTTATGATTTAATAACTACATATTTATATTTGATAGTACAAGTATACTTAATTATTTACAAACAGATCTACAATAGCAGAGTATATTCTATCGATTCAATAAGAAAGCATTGTCAAAGGATACTTCTAACCTCCGGTGGAGGATAAATAATGCCCACAATCGGCTGAGAAGAAGGTGCATTATTTTCTTCTGTTTCAGTTGCTGGCGGTTGTAAAACCGCAACTTCTTGTGCAGGCATATTGCTCAATATGACCTAAGTCACTTAACTTAATATCTATGTTAATATTTCTCGTAATTCATTGTACTCAAAATACTGTTTCGTAAACGTAACATAAACGCCACCATTTCACATCGCGTGGATCTGTGTAGATTAAAGTTGCATTTTCAATAATATTATAAGGAAATGCATCTAATACACATATATGAAAATAAACTATATTTCATCACTAGAGAGTGCATATCCACTCTGCTTACATATATGTGCATTGGATGCATTTTCTTATAATATTATTGAAAATGCAACTTTAATCTACACACATCCGCGCGATGTGAAATGGTGGTGTTTATGTTACATTTACAAAACAGTATTTTGAATGCCATGTATTGAAATGTTATTACTTCACGAAAAAGGGATTGTTTCTTTTCTACAAAAAGATAAATATAACATTTAAATAAAAAAATAATTTAATAAAATAAGTTGAAAGTTGTTTAATGTGGTGGACAAATTTGAGATACTTTTTTTTTTGTGCACATCCTTGAACTTTTTTTTATCATTTCAAAGGATAAATTTTGATTTATTATTTACTTTTGGCAAATTGTGAAATAAGAATTATATAAATTAAGGTGTAGTTATTTAGGAAAATGAAGAAATAAAATTTGAATTATACAGTAAATCATGTGATTTTAATAAAGTTTATATGAAGTTTATATTTATTGTCTGTGCATATATTTTTATATTTAATATACGATAAGTTATGAAGAATTTTAAATAATTGTAAATTACTGTGATAAAATAGAAAAAAATTCGACATGGTATTTCCAACAAAAATAGCGCATAAAGCAAATAGAATTTCCAATCATTATTATAATGTTTTTGTAATATATTTATTAATGTTTACATTATTTATTATTTTGATTGCAACATATATCTTTACATTTGAAAGTACACAGAAGCATTCAGTATATAATGCTATTGTTTTTAACGATTTGAATTCTTTACCTGTACATACAATAGATGCAGATTCTCCAACGGCAGATGCCACAAATTCATCTTGTACATATTTTAGTTGTTTTAATGTTTATCGCTGTGGTAGTCAAGGAAATAAGCTTTTAGTGTACATTTATCCGCCAAAAATCTATGTAGATGCTTTAGAAAGACCTGTTACAAGTCAAATGTCAAAAGAATTTTATCAGATTTTATTTACTATAATTTCAAGTAAATTTTATACACCAAATCCATATGAAGCATGTATTTTTATACCATCACTTGATACATTGAATCAAAATAGATTAAAATTACAAGAAGTTTCACAAGCTTTGAAATCATTACCATTGTAAGTGTTTTATTATTTTAATGTTTATTATACCTTAAAGCAACATATAATATTGTAATTTTGTTGTATGTGCTTTAGCTGGAATAATGGAGAAAACCATGTTGTATTTAATATGGTATCTGGAAGTGTGCCTGATTATAACACAGTCATTGATGTATCAGTTGGAAAAGCAATGATTGCAGGAGCTGGAATGTCATCGTTAACATATAGATCAGGTTTTGATATCAGTTTACCAGTATACAGCCCTTTAACAAATAATTTTAAACCAAATATTAGTGATACAAGGTAACACAAAATTGCATACTTTTAAATGCCTTCATATAATATAAATAACTTACTTATTTTAGATTGTGGTTAGCTATTTCATCTCAAATTAATATTAACTCTGCTTTTGAGCAAGATTTATTAGAAATTAAATCCCTATCACCAAAGGATATATTAATATTAGGACCATGTTTACAGTATAGTTCTATGAATAGTACAATTCGATGTGCAGGAATAGATGTTTATAAATATCCTGATGTACTTCAAGTATGTAAAGTAATAACAAATTTTCTTATTAGAAAGAAATTCTTATGTTACACTTAAACTTTGTTTTTGTCAGACAGCAACATTTTGTTTAGTAATTCGGGGTGCAAGACTTGGGCAAAGTACACTTTTAGAATGTATGGCTACAGGTTCTATACCTGTAATTATAGCTGATTCTCTTGCAATGCCCTTTCATGATGTAATTGATTGGACTAGGTAAAAATTTATGACTATTTTATTAATAATTTTTATATATCAATAAACTTGTGGCAAATACATATGTTTATTAAACATTTTTATTTAGAGCTGCTATATTTATACGGGAAGTAGATATTTTATCTGTAATATCTGTATTAAAGAAGGTATCACCAAAACGAATTACAGAACTTCAAAAACAGGGTGCATGGCTTTATGAAAAATATTTTAAATCTATGGAAAAAATTACAGAAACAACATTAGAAATACTTGCAGATCGTGTATTTCCACATTTAGCTAGAGATTACACTTTCTGGAATGTGTCACCTCGTAAGGTAGGTATGAGATATTATAATTAAACAATTATAAGCTTAAAATAATAATTTGTTATATTGAATGTACAGGATATTACATCTCCTCTTTTCTTACCTATTACCGCACCAAAAACTCGAGGATTTACTGCGGTAATTTTAACATATGATAGATTAGAATTATTATTTCTTTTAATTAATAAGCTTGTTAAAGTACCAAGCTTAAGTAAAGTTCTAGTAATTTGGAATAATCAACATAAAGATCCACCACATTGTAAGTTCTTTTAATACCAGTTTAATGTAATTATACTATTCAATATTACATTTTAATTTTTTTCAATACATATTGTAGCATCTAGGTGGCCAAAATTAAATAAACCATTAAAAGTTATACAAACAAAAGAAAATAAATTATCTAACAGATTTTATCCATATGATGAAATTGAGACTGAAGCAGTTTTGTCAATAGATGATGACATTATTATGTTAACTGCAGACGAAGTAGAATTTGCCTATGAGGTTTGTTTGCTAAAAGTATTTGAACAGTTCAGGACATATACAAAAAAATTAAAAATAAAGATTAAAAACAATGATTAGGTTTGGAGAGAATTTCCCGATCGAATAGTTGGTTTTCCATCTCGAATTCACATCTGGGATAATGGTACAAGTTGTTGGAAGTATGAAAGTGAATGGACTAATAGTATTTCGATGGTCCTAACTGGAGCTGCATTTCATCATAAAGTAACAAAACTATATAATTTAATTATTCATTTATAGTGTAATGTATTAAATCATATTAAAATATAATTATTTCAGTATTGGAATTATATGTATACTACCGCCATGCCAGGTGATATCAAAGAATGGGTTGATGATCACATGAATTGTGAAGACATTGCCATGAATTTTTTAGTAGCAAACATTACGAAAAAAGCACCGATAAAAGTAAGCGTATACAAATTTGCTAAATTTTGAAATATGTTAGACATATACCGACTATAATTGTATCATCGTAGGTAACACCAAAGAAGAAATTTCGATGTCCAGAGTGTACAAATACTGAAATGCTTTCAGCGGATCTAGCACATATGGTGGAACGTACACAATGCATAAATAAATTTTCTTCAATTTATGGGTCAATGCCATTACAGTCAGTTGAATTTCGAGCAGATCCTGTTTTATTCAAAGATATATTTCCTGAAAAACTCAAAAGATTTAATGATATTGGAAGCTTATAAATGTGTTATTCATTTTAATAATGCAAGAGGGTATACTAAAATGAACGTAACTAGGTCTATATATACGTTCGTTATAACATTTGTTTGTTTTAACATGCATTAAGGTGTATGTATATTTAGGGGTAATTTGTTCCAAACCCACAAATGTGAGTAATCACAATTTTCTGTTTTCATTTTTTAGCAATGAGAACAGAATGAAAACATTCGTGTATATTCATGTATTTAAATTTATTAAATATAATTTGTTGATTCATACAATGCTTCCTTTTTTATGTTACATGATAATATCATTATTAAAAATGCTCAGTAATTCAGTAATACCTTAGTAGATGATGCATTAGAAGATAATGCAATGCCTGTGTAAGGAGTGTTGGAACAATTCTAATTCATGAAAATAACAACATAACATTTTGTATCATGTAATCACGATTCGTAATAATGTTATCTGATTTTGAAACAAATTCCTTCAACAATTGCTTTTTTACCAACTTCATCAGCTGACAGAACAGCCATGTGACTCTAAGAAAAATGTATTAGTATTTATAGTATTTACATTTATATAGTGTTATTTTTAAACATAAACAAAACATACCGTTGCTGCCTGTTCACATGAATTCATGTAACCTATTATCATAGAATTAGTTGAATAACTCCAGAGAAAATCTCCTAATCCTTCTTCAGCTGCATATCGGATAGCAATAACACCGCCAAGTTTTTGATCAAGTCCGCGTAAAAACTTTGAATCTAAAAAAAATACTTATTTATCAATAATAGAATAAATTATTTACGCCTATTTTCTACAACAGAGATATTTTATATTGGAAAGTAATAACAAAGTAGTTACGGGTTTTCACCGATAAAATCAACGTTCATAGCACGATGTAAGCCAAGAGTTGGACATGAACTATCGGATATAGCTTCAGCAGCTGTCCGTGCAAGTGAAGTGCGAACAAGGTGTTCTCCACAACCTGATGTACTTGTTCCTACGGCATATTTATCTTTACATGCCCATATACCACCTCCCCACATCCCAGCCTTAAAATTAAAATGTTATATTTTCTTTATAACTGACATCAATAAAAAGAACTAAAAATAAACATCAATTTTAAATAAAATTGTATAACTTTAAGGAAAAGAAACAGCATACCTGGCCTACTCTCCCAGGATATTTTAAAATTATGCCACCGCTAGAACAAGCTGCAGCAATATTTCCTTCTTTATCAACACATACAGCACCAACCGTATCCATTCTTCTTTTAGTGTACTTTAAAGACAAATATTGGTATATTAAAAATTTTAATATTCTAAAGATAATCTACAGAAATGTAAATAAAAGATTTACCTTATAAGTTTCTGTGTCAGAATTCTCTATTTTTCTTTTGTAATGTTTATACATTTTCTGTGCTTTCGCTAAAAATTATGGTAGAAGATTAGAAAAATATAATTAACACATTAATAAAACACAGTATGTTACATACTAGATATTAATTGTTCTGGAGGTACAGTTTGTATTCCCATTTCCTGTGCCCAAATATGTGCTCCACTTCCAACTAAGAAACTTGTATCGTAACATAATTGTAAAAATTCATCTCATTAATTTGAATTGCATTTTATTCAATATTTTATACTTAAATATTTACCTTGGTGGAATTCTACCATATGCAATTTTAACTGCTTGATGTTCACAGAGTCGTTTTGCCAATAAAATAGGATTTTTTATTCCACTAACTGCACCAACTGCTCCAAATTGCAATGTAGTACCATCCATAACACTGGCATCACATTCCACTGTTCCTTCCAATGTTAGATTGGAACCAAATCCAGCATTAGTTAAAGGAGAATTTTCTAATATAATTACTGTTTCCACTGCAGCATCCAATGAACTACCACCATTTTTTAGATTATGAATACCCTATGAAAATATGTATATTTTATTATTGTTCATTAATTTAAAATAATGTAAATAAAGAATGAAAACAACTTACTGCTTTACATGCTTGACGGCATAATTTCTGATATTGTTCTTTTAGGGTTTCTGAATGTCGCCCTGCTCCTAATAAAATATGCACCAATGATACAATTTTTATTGTTATGTTTTTCTAATTTAATTAGCTTGTCTAACATTTATTAAAGTATATACAGAAAATAAAATGTAAAACATACCAACATGAACAGCGATGAACCCCTGATTAGTATTAGCCATCAAATCTGATTACTTCTTACTTTTACTGTATAAATGTTTACAATTTTTATTATTATGATTTATACAACATGTTATTTTCAAATGTATATACTGTTAATTGTATACACATAACTATCAGTATACTCAATTACATTTATCAATCTTTTAAATTTCATATTCTAGTAATACATAAATTATTTAAATCCTTTTTATGAAATGTATTTTTCAATCAATAAGAAAACAAATACATGAACTTAAAAGAATAGTAATGACATTATAAGTGATTATAAATACTGAGTATGAAGTAACGTTCAAAAATTGTACAATATAGAAATATACAGGACAGTTCACACTGATTCCAACGATTAACACCGTGTTAAAACCAAGTTCACTTGAAAGCGCAACAGTATAAACAAATAGTTCGTAGAATTGACACGAAAGGGCGTAAATTTTCCCGTAAAATACGCGGGAGTTGACAATCCTTCTACATTAAAATTAATGCAATTGAACGATACAATCATACAGTTTATTATTTGCTACGTTTAAATTTATGTGTGAAATATATACATGACATATGAGCTTCCTTAATTTTTTGATTAGATACTAAAATGTACCGATTACTTACGTAAAATTACAGTTTCTACAAATTTAAGTGAAGTTAATGCTTTTTGTAAGTATATTTATAATCTTATTTAAAATTTGTAATTTACTATTAATGTATACTTGTATTTATTTACATTTATTGTTTGATATAAACTACGTAAGATACTTATGAAAGTTGTTGTAGGTTACTTGAATTAAGAATTTCGGTTCAATAAATATTCAAATCAGAGATTATTAGATACATATATTATAAGTATTATACCAGAACAGAAGTTTAAAAATGTGGGAGATTTATTTATATACTAAATTTTATCTTTAATATTTTTTGTGATTAATAGAAGATTGATTTCATTTTCAGGATTACATGAAAAATAATACAACATATTATACCTATAATATATTGAATGGACATATTAATAGAAAACGTTCGGACTTTCTGTTGCAAGCAACTATTTATTTGTAATAATCATGTTGATATTTGATTTTTTAAAAAAATTTTTTGGATGGGTAGACGAAACACCTAGGAAACGTAGAGCTGTTTCGTTTAGCTTAGAGAAAGAATTTGTAACTTCAAAAAAGCAGTGTTGCAATCACGAAGTTATTGACCTGGAAGACGAACCTGCTGAAATTAAAAATGACAGTGATGACGATGATGACGTTCAAATTATAATCAAACATAAACCTATTCCAGCTAATCCATTCAGTAGGGCGAATGGTAAATGCAATAGAGAAAAGTCATTTAGCTGTTGTAAGTCATCATTTGTTTCATCAGCAAAACGTGAGCCGTGTTACGATAAATTAAATATGGGTTACTTTGATAATACAAGTGAAAGGGTACAAAACATTAACAAGCACCACCAATGTTTAACATTGAATAAAACCCATCGTCTGAGAGAAAAAAATCAGTATGAAGAACTATTACAAAATTTTCTACCACATAGAATACACGTTATGTGCGATAAACGTGAAGAAAATGGACAGACACAAGAACCTCCAGAAGTAATAGATTTAGAGAAATTTAGTTTTTCAACTCCTTCTTCTAAAACACAACCAATTTCTAGGAAATATGACAGTTCCGGATCATGTTGGAATGTTTCAAGTAAAGAGAGAAAGCAAAGGAACAAAGAAATAGTTATTACTTTAGACAATGATAAACCGGACGAAGTAGCATTTGTCCATTCCAATCATGATAAAAAACCCTCTTCTAGTAAAAGTAGTTGCACTGAAAAGTCCCCACACAATAAAAGTATGGAATGTGTAGCAAAAAATACATTAAGAGATCATTTATCAGCCAAAGCTGTAATGAGGGAGGATTTTGTTCCTCAAATAACAAAACGATACAATGAGCGTATAGAGCAACGCTATAAGGAAGCAGAAGAATTAAAAAAAATGACATGTATGTTATCTAAACATAATCGTTTAGCAAGAGAAGCTGCTTTAGAAGAGCATTTAGCTAGATCCATGAGATTATGTGAAGCTGTTTTGGATGAAAGCGAAAAGCTAGAAGAAGCAGAATTACCTACTTTAACAGAGAAAATGCTACAAGAAGTAAGAAATGCTCTTATTCCTCGACCACCTGATGAAATTCTTGTAGAAAACTTTGGTTTAAGAATTACGAGAAAAGATATTCACACATTAGCTGATCTGAACTGGTTAAACGACGAAGTCATTAATTTTTATATGAATTTATTAATAGCTAGAAGTGCAAATGACAAATACCCAAAGGTACATGCTATGAATACTTTCTTTTATCCAAAACTAATCAATGGTGGATATGCATCCTTAAAACGTTGGACAAAAAAAGTTGATATTTTTGCACAGGATCTTGTAGTTGTTCCTATACATTTAGGTATTCATTGGTGTATGTCGATAATTGACTTTAGAGATAAAACTATTAATTATTACGATAGTATGGGTGGTAGCAATCCAAAATGTTTATCCGCCTTACGACAATATTTGGAAAATGAAAGCTTGGATAAAAAGAAAAAAACATATGATACCAGTAATTGGAAATTGGAATCTGTTAAAAATATTCCATTACAAATGAATGGAAGTGATTGTGGAGTATTTTCTTGTATGTTTGCCGAATATATTTGTGCAAATAAAAAGATCACATTTACACAACAAGATATGCCATATTTTCGGAATAAAATGGTTTATGAAATATTAAAATCCAAGCTTTTATAAAAAGAAACATTTATGTAACCATCTATGAAAGATAAATTAAGTAGTTCGCAGTAACTTCCATAAATCTGAAATATAATTTAGCACAAAAGAGTTTATTATGGTGGAAAGTATTTTAAAAAGTGTAAACTAATAACGACATTGAAAAGTAATATTTCTTTTATTACTACCATAATTCCAAAAGTAATTACAAAGTATGATTTCTTTTGTGTTATTAGAAATATATTTTTATTTAAAGATTAAATACTGATTGTTTTCTAATATAGAAAACATTAGTACTCTGTAAAACTAAGTTGAAAAATGGTATAATAAATAACTTTTTTCTTAATAAACAAAATATTTTTATTATTTAAATAATTAATATTTAATTATAAGCAATATAACAGTTGTATATGTGTCCTTTATTAAAAATAAATAATGTACTATGTTCTGTTTCAAATAAACGTACTGTTAAAAAAGTAGTTAGGACATAAATATCTACATATTTAATTTATGCCAGTACTTATATATTTTATTTTTTGAAGTATTCGTGTATGATTTGATTTGTTAAATAACCATTCAATAAATGAACGTTAAACCAGAAGTACGTTGGTCCAAAAACTGACTCTACTGACAAAATTTGATTATTCCAATGTAAACAATCAGATAATTGTATAAAGATTAAACTTTTGCCGTCAGATGGTGTTTTGTATGTTTTGACAACTCCGTTTTGTGAGTGAATTGACAGTATATTTAAATACGTTATTATTTTCATTTGCAATTTAATATTTGATACGCGTATAACATGCAAATCATATAAATGTTATTATATTTATTATTGACAATTGTAACTATTATTCTTTAATAAACGAATTTCATATTTAATATATTATGTATTGTCTGATTTGAGCGTCATAACCTAAATAACCTATAACTAAAGTACACCGTTTAAAAAGTGTGGAACTCTTAACAAGATTCTTTTTCGATTGAAGTAAAGATGACTACTTATACCGTAATAACGCCGGAGTTTATCAATTTATGTATTACCAGTTCTAGTCGAAATTCATGTTGCGTAGAACGCAGATTTCAAAAAGGAATAACAATCGATGAATTTAAGGTAAAAACATTTATTAAAAATTACATGGTATTTCTCTTCTTACATATTAATTATTGTTTATCACAATATGTTACATTATTATTTTCCATTATTAAAGGGAAAATTGGAATTGTTAACTGGTGGTAATCCTGCAACAATGAAGATTGAAGTGTATGATAAAAATGACAAACTAATTTGTAAATTAGATGATGGTCAACGTCTTTTAGGATCATACCCTATCGATGATGGAATGAAAATATTTGTAAATGAACATTTTCTAAAATGATATTACTGTAATAATTATAATATAAATATATTGAACATTTTAGGTAATAGACAATTTTTCTCGTACTGAGGAAAATTTAAATAATATTGAAAAATTTGAAATATCTGAAGAAGAATATGCTAAACGAACAGGTAATATCATAAAACAGTTATAAATTAAATATAAGAGTTGGATTTTTTTATATTTTTCTATATAATTATTATATCAAACATTCTTAATTTTTTGTTTTAGATACAGTAAAAGCATTTTTGGAAAAAAATAAATTAGGAAAATACAATGAAGAAGAAATGAAAAGAAAAGCAGAAGAAAAGAAACAAGAAGAAGAGGCAGAAGCAGCAGCTGCCCAGGCATGCAAAATTGGTGATCGATGTGAAGTTACTGTTCCAAATCAACCAAAACGTAGAGCTACCATTATGTATGTTGGTAAGTATATAACAAATTCACTTTTTCATAATATTCATTTCAATCATTACATATTATTTCGTTTGTAGGTAAAACTGATTTTAAAGAAGGTTGGTGGATAGGGGTAAAATATGATGAACCACTTGGCAAAAATGATGGAACGTAAGATTGATATTATTTGCTCTTTTTTTATTTTTACACAGCATCATGATTTTGTATATTTTTTTATTTCAGAGTTAATGGGAAAAAATATTTTGAGTGTTTACCAAAATATGGTGGATTTGTGAAACCAATGCATGTGAAAGTAGGAAACTTTCCAGAAGAAGAATTTGATTTGGACGAGGAACTATAAAGTTAAGACTGTGTCATTAATTTTTTCATTTTAAAAATTAGATTTTATAACAAATCTGTAGTTAATATTTATTACATATAAAAATGCTTAATATTTCCTTCGTTTTATTATATCTGGTCTCCAATTTACAGGATGCGTTTCCTCCGTCTGAAAATATATGAATAAGACGATTGTACTAAGTTTATCTATAAAATAAATTAATTATACTAGACTATTTCGCAAATAAATTATTCTTACAGCAGTATCATCTTCTTTATACACTTTGATTGTTTTATCTGCTTCTGTTGTAATCATTCGTGTGCCAGACATGTCAAATGTAATACTAAATACTCCAGCTTCACTATCCATTGAACCAGGTTGAACTGGTGCTTGTAATCGTTGAAAATTATATCTTAAAATTGACATAATGTTTATGAGTAATACTATAAACTACACATGAAATAAAATGATATAACTGCTACATCATTTACCCTGTCCTCCAATCCCACAGATGCATTGTACCATTATCTGCTCCAGAAACTAAAACACCATCAGCATTAACAGCCAAGCAATTAACTATGGCATTATGACCTGATAAGTTTTGAATAAATTTGCCTTCTGGACATTTCCACTGTTTAATATTATCTGGAGATGCTGATGCAAACATGTACCTAATAAAAGATGTAAGTTAATTATGGGCGTAATCATAGTATACAGTTTATGCATAAATACATACAAAGATGGATGGAAAGTCACAGCTCTCACACTCTTTTTGTGATTTGTTAAAGTTGCTTTAGATTTTCCTGTAGCTAGATCCCATAACCTTATTGTGCAATCATGACTTCCAGTGACAATCTGATATAAAGAATAAAAATGTTATAAAATGTTAAATACTTTTTGACGAACAATGTAATGAAATACCTGTGGCTCAGCTGTTTGACAAATTACACTAGCAATTGTATTAGTATGACCAACAAGCGTGTGTACATTTGCCTTGGTACGCATATCCCATACTCTTGCAGTAGAATCTCTACCCGCAGTTACTAATACATCTATACTAGGATGGAGTGCCATTGAATATACAGCTGATAAATGACCATGGTAGTGTCTTATAACCTTTAAAAATGTAGATGAAAGTAATTATAAATGTATTGTATATTATAATACTACATATCATTTAAATTATGTTTAATAACCTTGTTGTATTCAAGATCCCAACACTTTACTTGTCGATCCTCTCCACAGGAAAATAGGTACGGATGACGCTGAGAAAATGCAAGTCCACGGACACTACTTATGTGACCAGTCAAAGAAACTTTCAATTTACCACTTGCAAGATCCCATATCTACAATTTTTTAAATTAATCACAAACATGTAATATTATATACAAAATTTCATACAATTTAATAAAATATATCTTACTTTAATTACTCTATCTGCTGAACCAGTAGCAAACCATTCATTTCCTGGTTCAACGGCACAACACCTAACCCAACCAAGGTGGCCACTAATAACTCTGTATAATTTCCATGGCGGATGCCATTTTGGTTTTGCCATAGAAGTTGTCTTTTTTTGTGTTATAAGAGTATTTATTACATTTCCTCCAGAACTTGCTTGTGTTGTTGCTATTATATTACTATTTTGTGTGCTATTATAAGGTACAGTAGCAGTAATACTATTTCCTCCAAAAGATTCATCTGTAAATTTAGTTTTTATCAAAACAATAACAAACTTTTATTTTGTCTATGCATATATAAATATGTAAACATACCGCCTGGTGGAGGAGGATCTGCATTTTCATTTTCTTTCTGTGCTTTCATCACATTGTTATTCTTGACACGTTCCAATACAGGACCATAAGAGTCCTTTGCTTTTATGGTTTTTTTCATCTTTTGTCTATAAAGTATTATCATAGTATTTGGTTAAGTATACTTCCATTAATGATAAATAATATACTTACAAATTAAGATCCACAGGTGGTAAAGTACCTTGATTTAATAAGAACATATCGTGCGTTCTTTTTAAAGATCGGAATACTAGAGTATGCACAGAATGCTTTTGTACGTCCTGCAGAAAGTTTTACAATTTTTATTTAAGAATTATGTTATTATTATTATATATTTGACTTTTCTATACAACACTCGTTAGTAATGTTAGAACTATAGCCGGATCTGTATTCAGATTAATTAAAACGACTTAAATACTTTATTATAAACATTTTCTTACCATTTTTGTAAAAATTCAGGCTATGTTTACTTTATTACACTACTGACTGAAGTTAGCTTTGATATTGTAATATCATTGCTGTGAAGTTAACTTCTACGTACAGCGATTCATTTATTGTTTATAATCGTATTTATCTCTCAAAAAATGAAACCGCTAAATTCGATTGTTTAGTGATTGAGCAAAAAAGGTTTTTTTAATATAACCGTGTAAATTGAACTTTTATTTGTATGATTACGTTTCGTGTCTATGAAAATAAAGCAGGGATTCCCGTGGGATTTTCTCAAACTAATATCTTATTCTGTGTAATAAGACAAGCTGTTTTTAAATCACGCAGTTTTCATTCCAGCTGATTAGAGTTTAAATAAGTTTAGTAATAGGTTTTGAATATATAATCACAAAACGTATATACGGAAGAAAAATATGGTTAAAGCATATTGTATTACAATTTGTAAAAGTTTGTGGACCAAAAATGGAGATGTTACTTTTCACAGGTACTTCAGAAGAAAAGTGGAACTACATAAATACTCTGTGATGAAAATTATTTTTATTTATTGTTTACAAAAAATTACAGCAAAATCCTGACACCAGCCTAATTATTAATAAACAGGATATTGGTATTCAAACATTTTCAGAAGATTTGGCACCATCCAGAGAAATAATAAAATTGCGTAATAGAATAAGAGTACTTCAGAAGCGGTTACAGTGACGAGATATTAGAATAAGAAACACAAGAGACTCGATTCAACATTTGAATAAAAATAATAAATCTACAAAAACAGCAGGAGATACATTAAAAAGCCAGTTTAGTAGCTTTTCTATTGATATATTAAATAATGAATTACAAAATTCTTCTGCTATTAGCTGTAATGCACAGTACAGTGAAGAAATTAAAAACTTTGCCTCAAATTTATACTATTATTTGTCAAAGGTGTATAACTTTTTACGAACAAAATTAAGTTTGCCTCACAGTTCCCTATTACAAAAATGTTTAAATGTTGATGATCCTTAATCAATACAGTTTAAAATTTGATGAATTATGATCCATTTGTGCCCATTTATTGGTCCATTGAATGACTGTGATTGATATAATCAAATGTGAATTTAGAAATGACAATGCAAACAGTATTATTATACATTTATACCAAAAGTGCATATATAAAAAAAATTTATTGATAAAGATGCAGCTTGTTTTCATTCATAAAATGATGAACTTAAAAATTTCATCTGTTATGTTATTGTGTAATGAGAATTTATATTTTATGGATAGGATATTAAGGTATATAGGAATTTACAATAAAATAATACTGATCTTTCAATTTCTTCTAACTTTTTCATTTATCATAGTATAAATTTTACATGTATATATCGTAATGTATATAAACATGCATAATCCTAATCACATGACTATATTCGTAATTTCTAGATGAAAAAAAGTTGGATGGATTTAACTAAATTATTTCATTTCACTTATGTCATTTAGAATAATTGAGTATGTAGATAATGCATATAAAATGTACTGTTACGTTGCTTACGATAGAAATCCTTAAGTGCGATGAAATACGATAATAAGATTTATATGGTAGGAATGTACGTAGACGATGTAATACTATTTCTTAGAAGCGTATCCGAAGCTTGTGGCCCAGCAGAATTTTTGCGAAACGAATGTTTATGAGGATAAAGATTAAGCGGTGGCAAATTTGGGTGTTCAATTCTTGTTGGTGAGCTGACGCGCGGACGTGATGTACCTTTTTGCATACCTGCAATTGAAGTAACGTCGAATTATACAGATGAATTAAATTTATTAATTGAAATTATACGTAATAAAATATTGCCTAGATCATTTGATTCCCAAGTATCATTAAGTTGATAGTAATCAGATTTTGTTAAAGGTTCTTCATAATCTACGAATGCGGTATTATCGAATGCTTCATCGTCCTTCAGCTGACTCTGAATCGGCAGAGTGACCGGCGGATCTGCGTAAGTCTGAAAAATGGACAACCTATTTTCAAATATTTAAAATTTGTTCATGTTTTAAGCGGGAAATTGTAAAAAATATGTACCTAACTACAGTACCGCCGTTAGGGCAAAGTGGTCACTTCACTTGGGCTCTGCGTTTAAACTTTCAAATTTTTAAATTTAAAAATTTAATTTCCAAATTAAAAAACTTTCGACTTTTGCCCCGGGCCCCGTAAACTCTAGCGGCGGGTCTGTATAATTACACAGCTATAGAATTAATTCTTTGCAGTTGACAGACTAATATTTTATATTTGTGTTTTTTAAGATTTTTATTTTACATTTATTTATTTATTTTCTTAACGTCATCAATAAAAAATAAAAAGTAAATTTTTGTTATATTGCCATCCCTATTGTAGCACACGTGGCAATATAACTATTATAAGTAACTGTGAAAATGAAGGAACTGACTCCTTCATCTTTTATTGTTATTGGTTTTTAGAATAGTGTGGAAATTTTCTAGAGTATTAATAAGTATCATTATACGTATAGACGTAATATTATTAAATTGCCTTAAGTTTTACATGTTCAGTTGGTGTAGTTGAACAGGTACGTTTATGAAATTGTCCAGCGCCGATCGTTTCATAAGTATGTTCTTCTAAATAGTGTCTGGTAGTACCACGGGGTGTAAGTGTAGCCCACATAACGCGACTGTCTTGCATAGCGTCAGTCGTGCAAGGATAAAGCACAGCTTCGTTTTGAATTCTTCCCATTTTTGTTTGTATGCCAGATGTTACGTTTGGTATGGAAATCACGCTGCTTTTACCACTTCTATTACTGCAAAATTATCAGTTAACGTATTTAATTCTCTAAAATGTAAAATTAGGTTTTAAATAATTCATCCGTGTTGTAATTTGTACTCGGTGATTTTAATTGTTTTCCCGTAAGCAGTAATCTATAACAATGATGGACAGATCATTAATAATTTACAAATTAAAAAATATTGAGTTTTGCAGTTTTCATATTTAGAAATTTGCAAGTTTGTAAATTTAAAAATTCCAAATCGAAAAATTGACTATCTATCCATCAATGCCCGCGCTTGCAGTCCATAACTACTTTATAACATAATCAAAAAACAGTACTTACAATTTGCACTTTAAGAATAACGTTGCTAATATTATGCCTATAAAAATTACACCGACGCAAGATGATATTAAAACCAATAACCACGTGTCATCAAACACTGTACCTAAAATTTGAGTACTTTATTTTATTATCCTTTAAAAAATTCGAATAACACATATCGCTTTCAATTCGTACAAAATACAAACAATTAAAAATTAAACTAAATAATAAATTAATAAAATAAAATTAAATAATAATTGATTTATAAAATTAAATTAAACTTAAACATAAATTCTGACGATTTAATTTAGAAGATTAATGTGATTAATCGGATAGGAAACCTTGTTGAGGCATTTCTATATATTGCACCCCTTCGGATCGCCGATCGCAGAAATGTTTGCATGGGCTGTTGTTCAGATGCGGTAAAAACGATAACAAATCCGCATGTAAATAGAAATCGGAGCCTTGTTGCAGAACAGTTGGAAACGGAGGTGGTGGTATATGGAGAATGTCGGGTGGCGGTTCGAGGGTGCACGACGCACAATCCGAATTATTCATTATTAAATCTAAATCTTTCATCTATAATTCAAGTAAAGTAAACGAAGGATGATCCTTTAATATTCTCTTGCTTATGTCTCGTTTAATTTTTTACATTTTTCTGTAAATTTTTAAAAAAGTTTAAAAAAGTATAATTTATTTAAAATAAGTCAATGACACAAAATTGCTTATAGCATTAACACCGTTGCGTTTTAATACAAATTTAATACCTAAGCAGTTATTAAGCTTCATCTAGCTTCCATTCATTTCTTTAAGATTAAACACCGTGAGATTTAATATTTTCTTTACATTCCTTTATTTAACGATAAATTAATATTAACAGATTGTGGGAATGATGATTTGTATTATATTACGTTTTTATAAGCACATATCACTCGATAATGACAGTAAAAAGTAGACTCTCACCGTCAAGCAACACACCCCTGTACAAGTACTATTAGGGTAGCTATCGACTTTTGCCGAAGAAAAGCGCACGCGTTGTTCTATTGAGCGACGGAGAAAATTTCGCGAACTGTATTTACTCCCGTTTATTTTTTATTTTATAGTTTTGCGTTTGTTTACTTATATTTTTGGTTTATGCATATTACAATTGCAGTAATATTAATATATATTTTCATCGTTACTTTAAATAAAGTTTTGTTATTTTGTTATGCACAAAACTAATAAAATAAATACATTCAAGTATATCAGCAACACAAATGTTATGAAGACTGAATTTATCGTGTATACTGTACTTCTTATATTAAATAGTTAAGAAAATTGATTAATTACAATTTTGTAACTTTATTTATATCTACCATCAAGTATAACAGATAAATGAGAATTGTTAAGTCTTATAATACATTTTTTCATTAAAAATAATATAAATTAAATATCTGTAGCGTTCTTAACAGATACGTGGAAAAAAGTACGTTAACCGTAAAAATAAGTAACTTTCTTTTTTACACATAAATAAATAAAATGGATTTGGCAATAAATAAAATAAAATTATATTAGTTGTTATTAGATTAAAATATAATTTACTGATACATTAAGCGTTAAAAGCTTTATTATTCAATAATAATATATATTTCTTGTAATTTCAATTATCCCCAAAAGTAATATTTTTTCATTACAAAAAGGCGAAATTATGATTACTTACTAATGAATGAATACGCATTTTAAAATTAAATACCCAGTGTGTTGCGCATACCACGTGGTTGCGATATTGTATTGTACACTGTGCCTGATACGATACGTCAAAAAATTTTTGTTTGGAAAAGATGGGAAAAACGTGTCCACATTTAGTGTTTGAAATATTTACAAATTTCATCTAATGTACTTATTAATTTATTAGTGATAAATAAATTAAAATTAAAGTCTATTGGGTTTTCATTCATTATATAGAGAATAGAGTTCTATGTAACCTCTGTGGCAATTATGGAAATAAATCCTTTGAGTATAATTCTTGTAAAAAGTGATAGCAAAGGTGATAGACTGTTGTTTCGATATCCACATACGACAAAGCATACACGAGATTCTAATCAATATACTAAAAAGAGAAATCCGTATTCTCTCACTATTACAGAAGACCTATTACAGGTTAGTCTTGTATGATAGTGTAATATTATCAATACAAGCTATGATTTTTACGTATAATATAAAAATGATTAAAAAAGATAATTTAATACCTAACGTATTTTATTAACAGTCTTTACCTTTTCCAACTTCTAATATAAGTAATGGAAACTTAACTGGAGTGAATGATGAAGTATTATCAACATTATTTGCTGTTAAACCTGAATTATGCGAACAAAAGTTTGAGCTAAAAGTAAATGATGTTCGTTTCGTTGGACATCCGACTTTAGTTCCATCTCATGGATTAAAAGAAGTCAATTCTTCTATGCTATTTAATATAGTCTTTGCTCTTCAAGCACAAGCGAGTCATTCTATAGTAAAATGTTATTACGATTTGAGTAGAAGGTTTGTTATATGTTATATTATGTATAAGTTATTAATATCTTTTTTTTTCATTATTAGTTATAAGCAATGGATATAAAGGCATACAATAAAAACTGGTACTTAATACAATAAAAGTGTAAATATATGAATCTCATCTATAATATGGATAAATACAATAGCATCTTATATTACTTCTAATTAGCATGGAAATTGATATGTAGATGAAACTAATTTGTTTTTTACAACATAAAACTAAAAAAGATATACTTGCAAAATTTTTAGAAACAAATAAATAAATTTCTGTAGTATGTAATAACATTAAAATTAAATTCGATAGAAATGTAATTTTTGAAAGTGATTTATTTTAGACTTGGAATAGCTTTAAGACATGAAGAAAGGAGATGTGGATTTTTAACAGAAGAAATTAAAATTATGGTCTCTACTCATGATGAAATTGCTACTAGGTATAAGCATTTACTATTTATATTATTTGATGAAAAAGAAATAGATAATTCAGATAATTTACTTATTTTTAGATCTGAAGGTGAAAGTGATTGTGATGAATCACCATATGAATTAATTTTACAAAGAAGTTCACTTGCACGTGATTTGAAATCTGTATTTAGTAGTCTTAGTACTTCTGGTATAATTAATATTATGATTAATAAATGGATTCAAGTGCGTTTTTGTCTTCCACAAAAAGTTCATCAATCTCATGAGAAGGGATTTGTTATTAATCCAGAAATAATAGACAGGCTAGTATTGTGGCAAATGATTAACATGTTGAATCATATATGAAATATTAAATATTACATTTTATTACAGATGTTTAAATAGTTTAAGACCTTATCATGGCTTATTGTTGCTCATTGAACGTTTAGATTTATTGGATTCACTTCCAATAGACTCTTCTCCAGCTCTTAAACGTTTAATTCAAATGTATAGTCCTTTGAAAAATTTACAAACTTTGGCTGCTGATTCTGATTTGACACTTACTCAAGTTTTCCAATTAACTGGTCATTTAGTGTATTGGGCTAAAGCCACCATAATTTATCCACTTTGTGAAAGTAATGTTTATGTTGTTTCTCCAGACGCTATTATTACAAATCAATTATTAGAAGTATTTTCTGAAGAATTTCCTGGATTCTGCCTTTTGCAAGTATATATTCAAAATTTATTTATCATTTAATGTATTTTGCATTACATATAAAATACAATAACAGTTGTTGTTGGTTTAGGTTCTTAGTGATTTTTCATTACCAACATCCATAAGTCAAAAATTAAATCCATTGAATCAATTGCAACAACAAACACAATTAGTGAAAATAATAATATGGTTGTTAAAGAACCATTTACTTCTACAATTACATACTTATGTGCAATACATGCCAATGGTGCATGGTAGAGTATTGGTAAGTATAAAATAAATGTTTGTATTATACATACATAAATTATATATTTATTGTACTATATATATATATATTGTTCTAAGGATGTGAAGGATGAAATGAATCATAATTTGAATGAGATTATAGATAGTAACAACACATGGAATTTAAGTGAAATTTCGAAAGGATCCTCGGTAGATATGGCAGAGGAATTATCAATATCTTTTCGCAAAGAAACTGAAATATATAATTATCAGTCAGAAGATTATGATATTCCTTCTGATGATAGAAAATTGTTAGATAGACTATGTCGTCTTGGTTATTTTAATGGAGATCATCATTTGGAAGAGATTATGTATTTAGAAAATATTCGTAGATCGCAATTGCTCCAAATCCTGGATAAATTTCGAGATGTATTGATCACGTGTGAATGCGAAGATCCTGCTATTGCTCTGTTTTATAGTCAGTTTAGTTCTTAATAGTATCGTATAATTATTATTGATTACAAAAATTATAATATGTGTAAACATACAATAACTGTCGTAAAAAATGTAAACGTTTAAATGAAAATTCGATTTAAAATCGAATTGAAGACATTTGTAATTATGATGTGTAACATTTTGTTTTATTTATTAATCTTCTAAATGTAACAATGAACAAAAATGACAAGGATCATTGATTCTAATTCTAAAGTGTCAACTAAAATGCCACTAAAAACGGTTTTTATAATAAAAATATGTATTACAAAAATTTATCATATTTATAACTTATAAAAAATATACAGGTACCGTTATAATAACGATATAAAAACATAATATGATTAGTTATATTAATTAAGTTATTTATACAAATGTAAAAGATAAATAAATATGTATAAAAAACATTTTATTTAAAAAGAAACAACAAATTAGATATTGCACACGAAGTGATCACACTTTCTTTAAGTTTTTTGAGTTATAAATGAAAATTTAATCAGTGCAAAAAAATAGTTTATGGAAAAGTTCAAAAACTTTATATGTGCGCGGGCCTTAATGGCGTAAATTCATCCTCTGTCAGACGGTAGTAATGCGCAAGTACTCTTATGAGGAGCATGTAAACAAATTTTAAGGTTATCTTTTAAGATATTTGTTGATGAAAAACAACTGTTAATATTAATTTTTATACTGCATAAGACATTGAAAATTTATGTATATGATTTTTGTACGGTATAAAATATGAATCCTTTAACGTGAGTACCTGTATGATTACTAAATTAATATTCTTGTTATGACACATTACATATTTGTGTTAAAAAATTTTAATTATATACATAATATTTTTAGAAACGTAAAAAATATAAAAAAGCTCGGAGAACAAGAATTATTAACTGATAGAAAAGTATCTTGGCATGATCAGTATAAGGACAGTGCTTGGATTTTTATTGGTGGTTTACCATATGATTTAACAGAAGGTGACGTCGTAACAATATTTTCACAGTAAGGATAAAGTGCTCGAAATATTTTCATTCATTTAGCGGATGTTTCCAAAAGAAAAAGGAGATTAATTATGAATTATTGTAGATATGGGGAAGTAGTAAATATAAACTTAATTCGAGATAAAGATACAGGAAAACAAAAAGGGTATGGTTTCTTATGTTATGAAGATCAAAGAAGTACCATACTAGCTGTTGACAATTTTAATGGTACCAAGGTATATAAATATTTTTGTGATTTATTCATTATATTATAATTATTTTAACAATTTTATAAGGAAAATAAAAATTTAGATTTTAGGTAGAACAATAAGAGTTGATCATGTAGCAAATTATAAAGCACCAAAAGATTCAAAAAATATTGATGAAGAGACAAAACGATTAAGAAAAGAAGGCTGTGCTCCAAAAAACGTATAGGTGACAAAACAAAAGTTTTAATTAATTATCACTCATTATTTTCTTAAATATAATTTTCATATTGTATATAAATTTACATAAGTATATACTTTGAGTCTATAAAATTATTTAAACTTACTTGTTAGGAGAGGTAAGAGTTTCATTATTTCAAATAAAATATTTTTCAATTTTGTCACAGAATATTTATTTTTTAAAAACTAAACTAAAATCATAAATACGAATTAAATTTTCAAACTACATATATCTGTCTTAAATGATAAAATAATGCAAAAGTTTTAAAAATATCAAGTATTTTCATGATTAATGTTTTGTAATTAACCTGATATTATAATACTTTTATGTTTACAATATTTTCTATGCACTATACTGTACAAGGTCAATGATTTTTGTATAACTATATAAAATTTTAAAATACTTTTAATTTACTTTGAAAGTTTAAAAATAAAAAATAAGTAATAAAATAGTCAAAAATATTATCTTAAAAAATTGTGAATTACAATAGTGATAAATATATTTTAAGAAATAACAGTTTATATTTTGCATTAACAAATAGAAAATCTAAAAGACTTTGTTTTAAATAAATGACTTATTGTATACTTATATTTTCTGAATGGAATGATATCAAGACGAACCAAATTCACTCATCCATTTTTCATATTTTTCTAAATCCTCTTGGGAAACGCTCTTATTACACCTTTCAACAGCTTCATCAAAATCTGCTGCAGATACAGGTAAGTCTAATTCTTCTTTTGGCAACTGTCTAATTTGATCAGGCTTTAAGCCTGCAATTTTCTTCCGCATAGACATCATAGATGCATCTCTATACATGTGTTTACAAATATTTTAGAATTTTGTATATTAAAAATATTTAATAATTTTAATAAAATAGGTAATAATTTTATTTACCTGCAAACATTTGTAATATCTGCGCCAGAATAACCCTCTAACTTTCTGGCAATATCCGATAAATTTACCGATGAATCTACTTTTACTTCTCGTAGATTAATTTTTAATAATGCTTCTCTACCCTCATCTGTATAATACGTTGATAGATTGATAAAATTAAATCATACAAAATAATTTTACTAAATTATGGAAAAACTTACGATTAGGTAATGGAATGTAAATACGTTTTTCCAATCGCCTTCGTAGAGCTTCATCGATATCCCACGGAAAATTTGTTGCTGCCAGTACCATTACAACTTTACTTGGATCTTCGCTAAAGTGTGTCATGTTATATTTTATAATCGATCAGCTTAAATATTATTTTTTCAATATGTATAATTGAATTACCTGTTTGAACTTATACCATCCATTTGAACAAGAAGTTCAGATTTCACTCGTCGTGAAGCTTCATGTTCAGACTCAGATCCTCTTCTGGAGCATAGAGAGTCGATTTCATCAATAAAAATCGTACTAGGTGCATAAAATCTTGCCTACATAAATATATACGATATATTTTGTAAAATTAAAAATATAATTTTTGGTTGAATAAATTTATTTCGTAAAGGAACAATATCTGGTTTTACTGACAACTATAATTACCATTTCAAACAGAAGACGAACAAGTTTTTCTGATTCTCCTCTGTATTTTGAAGTTAGTGTAGAAGATGATACATTAAAAAATGTTGTCCCGCATTCAGTTGCCACAGCTTTAGCAAGCATTGTTTTTCCAGTACCTGGTGGTCCAACCATAAGTACTCCTTTCCAAGGTCGACGAATTCCCTGAATATACAACACATATTTTATAGAATGAAGTATAAATGATATAGAATACTTGTATATGTATATACTTTAAAAAAGTCTGGCATCCACATTGGAAGTACAACAGCTTCTTCTAATAATCGCTTTGCTTCATATAAATCAGCTATATCGTCCCAATGAATGTTCGGATTTTTTTGAACAATATCTCTTTCTGTAATATTGATATGAATATATAACAACTTTTTTTTAAAATTACTGATGTATAAGTATATAGTTTACCTAATAAATCTACTAAATCTCTGTCACTACCAGATGGTTCAAATTTGCGTTCTTCTACTTCTATATCTACTTTGTCAGACTCACATTTTTCCTGTAAAAAATATTTAAGCATTATTATAATAAATACAAAATTAAAACAAAAGTTATAAGTCATTATAAACATTAGAACTAACTTTATTCGTGTCATCTTTTCTTGATGCTTTTTTATCATCCTTTCTAACAACTGGTTTAATGTCTACTTTTTTTCCTGTAACGACAGGTTTTCGAGTACTAGTCCGATTTTGTTGTTTTGTTTGACTTTTCAGTGGTCTAATACTTCTATAAATATAATGTATTTTTAGTAACGGAACATAGTTAATGGCTTTATAAATATTTAAGTTAATATTTAATTCTTTGTAACTAATATTATTAAAAATTTATACTTTTGTTCTGCAGGTGTCAATGGTGGCCACACATCTGGATCTTTTGATACTGTTGGATTCCATGAATGATCTGAGTTATTATAAGTCCATAAAGTCGGATCCCTTGTAGGTTCTTCAAATGATAAACATGAATTACCTGTATATTTAGTAAATTTTATTATATTATTGTCATCGACTTTAATGATGAATATTTTTTATGAATAATATACTAATACCTAATAATCGTTCTCCATGTGTATCAACTTTAAAAAGCTGTAAAGTATTTGACGTTGCTTTTACTTTCTCAAATTCTTGAACAATTTGATGTTGAATAAGCTGCCATTTAGCTTTCCGTGTTGCATCTGCAATGCTTGTAAGTAATCGATGAATTTGTTGAACAACGCCTTGGTAATATACTCCAGATGTATCGTAATTTCCAGTCAATGCCATTTCACGTGCCAATTTAGTATTTTCACAAATTTCATTGATTGAAACTGCCATTATTCTGTTAAAAAATACATATATATTCTTTACTTATGTTGTATATATTATATGTATATATTTTATTATAAAAAAACATATATTAATATAGTATTCTCAGCATAAAAGAATCTTTATGTATCATATATATAATATAAAAATTGTCTGTTTTAATGATTAAGAAATTAGAAATTATAAGATTATAAATACAATTGTGTTATTGTAGGTTATATAGTAAAGTTGCAATTGCATCCAAATAAGGAATAAAACGTTATACTGCATTCAAAAAAGGAATGAAAAGTATAGTAGTTTTACAAAATTAATTTATGCAATTTTTGGTGGTTTATTTATAGGAGTATGTAACTATAGAAAAACATTTTTAAATTGGTTTTTTAACATTTCAATGCTATCGATGTTACAAATATTTATTATTTAAAATAAATAATAATATATTAAGTTAACATAAAAAATTTGTAATTAATACATTAAACATTACTATGAAAGTTGTTTAGAGAAGTACTCGTTCAAAAATTAGATGCATAATTTTGTGATTATCAAATTAAGCAAATAATGACAGCGGAGGTTATAAGAAGCAATTAATACGTGTGTAATGTGTTAGTCTAATAAACAAGTCTGCAAGTTGTTATTTATTTACATGTATTAGACTGTATAATGAAGGTTTTGTTTTTTATATTATTAGTACATTAGAATTTGATTTTATATACATACATATGTATATTATTATTGCGTGATGCCGTTTATAAGAAGGAGCAACAACACCTGCGTGATTATTTGCTGAAACATCCCCTAACGCCGCTGTCCTATGACGTGAATTCATATGACAGTTACAGTTTACTCGTTGAGCACACATAATGGTTGTTGCATTTGCTGGAACTTAATTATTGTTTAAAATCAAATAGGTTTCTGCCATCATAACACGTAAGATACTTTTCCAAATATTATTTTGTTAATTTTAAAATTATTTATTTCATTAGTAACTTAAAAAGTATTTGTGTAGTATTTATTTTTTAAAAATTTTATTGTACTTTTAAATATCGTTCAAAACATATTAATTTTGGATAACATTTTTCGTAGTAAGCGCTAAATATCGAAGATCGATAATCCTATGATCGATTGCTTAGATTTTTTGAGACAATTCAAAATTGAATCTAATGGTATGACATCGTTTTACGATAACTATGATTATTACAAAAAAATGCTGCAGTTGCAGGAGAGATTACGAAAAAGGTAAGTGAAGTATACATTTTACAAGAATTGCATGTAAACGATAATAAAAATATTTTATATTACTTATTACACAACCGATACAGCGAAGAAGAAAGGATACGGTTGGAAGAGAGATTTAAAACACTGATGCAAGAATCTCGTAATAGGTATGTTTCTAATTGTAATTTATGTATAATTTATGTAAACGCCTTGATGTATGAATAGGAAGCAATTCACGCAGAGGAAAGATGCAAAAAAATTCTTTTTTACAAAACAAGCATTAACAAACATTTTCAGCTTTATTTCTATTTTGCGTAATAATACGTAAGAATTTTAGAGATTGTGTATTGATCTGAAACTGACCTAGTTTTGACGGATGTTCTAATCAATATGTGTAAACATAACCTTTACCTTGAAGCTATAATTAGTTTCAGACATAAATGCCATGTTTGTATTTTTCTTTGTAAAAAAACATTATGAAAGAATATCATACATCTTCTTAATATATGGTAGCATACGTTTAAACTTAAAATATACCACTTTTTTTATTTGGCTTGAATTGCAACTAAAGGTGACATTACCCAAAAATAGAAATTTTGGAAAATTAAAAATTGTTCTCACGATAAATTTCAAATATTTACCAAATGAAGTACTATATTTTAGTATAAATTAATGTTACGGATAAAAAGTAAAATAATTATTTATTTCACATATATGTAATAGGGAAAGGAGAAGAAAAGGACACAATTGACCGCAGTAGAAGTTACGAAAATTTTATGAATGTACATTTGAAAACAATTTAAGATTACTTAGTTTAGAAAAAGTGTTGGAATAGAAATGTCTAATCACGTTTTATTTGCCCATGTTAGGACAAAGAGACGGTTCTAGGTTAGGCTTTTCTAGTTCTCTCAAGGTCAAAGGCAAGTGGTGGGGGACTCTGCTTTGCAGTGCCTTTCCCCATTACCAAAAGAAGTCTACATTACACATAGGTGTATACTTACATATAATGTAAACATCTTTTGTGCAAAGGCAGTTCGCCACTACTTACTTTCAATTTCAGGGAATTAAATATGTAAATTTGAAATTTTCAATTTTCCAAATATTAAAAATTTTTAAAACAAATTCCCAATTTTTCAAGCCCAAAAATTAAAAAATTTTTGAATTTCAAAATTTCATCATTTATATAGTTCGTTACACCCGACTGTACATATAATGTTAGCATTCTAAAAAATATGTTAACATTCTAGAACCGTTATTTGAATAATAGAACATTCGAGTTGAAAAAAATTGTTATTCGAAAGAAATGATAAAATTATTAAAATTTCAGGCATTATACGTGTATAAGTCGATTGCGTTTAAGATATATAGAATTTCTTGAGGAACAACGTACGAAGAATGACAGAAATCACAAACTTCTTGAAACAGTGAATAGCGTAGACAATAGTCTTATGTTGATGACTGCAAAAATAAATAGACTTAACGTTCTTAAAGTGAGTTTATTTATTTTCGATAATGTAGTTGATAAAAACACGGTTTTGAAATATAATTTTTCTCACAATTTAAATACGTTTTATTTTCATGCGTCCGAGATTTTGTGTATTCCTAAAAGCACTTGCGGGTCAGTTTATAACAATGCACAGCATGTGACTATATGAAAATTGGAAATTTCGAAGATGTAACGAAAAACTTGTATTGCAATATGGAATATTTTCTTATTTTTTAGGCACAATATGAAGATTACCATCGTCAAATGTATGCAATTCATAGTCTACCAGAAAATACTATCGATGGCATCGATAGGATGAAAAGCGAGAACAGGAATTTAAAAAGAAATATCACTGTGAAACGTTTATCTCCTGAAGTAAAAGATAGACCATCGTCGCAAATGGTTTGGTTGGATCATAAAACGGATCAAAATTTAATTGATGGGATAAAGAATAAGAATTATAATGATGAGAAGCATGGGACGCAATTAAAACCCCTAAATCAACAAATCAGTGATAATCAAAATTCGTTACAAACACGTCAAATAACTCAAGAAAATGGCATTCGGAGTCCATCGTTTCAGAATTCGCCGGTACAACATCTTCAATATAAACTCCCGTATTGTCAAATAGATTCTGATTTGTACGTTTCACGACCATTATCCAATCTTCCTCTGAATTCGTTAAGCGGACAGAATTTATCGTATTTGGCTAAATCTCCGATAAAGCGAATGGAAACGATTCAAGTGGCGCCGTCGCGATGCAAGTTGTTGGATGTATCCCAAAATCAATCCAGATCAGAAATTTCACGAGATTATGTTAAGCCAACAGTAACCATGCACTCTCTTCGACTAGAAAACAATAAAATATTGAATGATACTCGTTTGCGGCTAAACAACGTTGACGAAGTAAATTATAGATCTACGCCAGTAATTATCGAACAAAATGCGCCAAGTATATCGTTCACGAATCCAATATTTAATTTACCTACGCGTTCCTTCAAAAGTTACTTGAGTTCTTCTTTGAAAAATATTGCTCGTCCGCGAAAATCTGTTAGCAATAGTTCTATGCGCTCAGTGATGACTTCAAAAGATTTAGATACAGACGTTTTATCAGAAAATGAAGAAGTACAAGAAAACGAAAGCAGAACAACAACAATATTGGAGAATGAACTAGACAAGTACATTGCTAAGCTTGACAAATTACATCGTGATCATGATATTCAAAGTTCGAAAGAAGTTGATGAAGAACAAAGTACAAATATTAGCGCCTTAAATGAAACATTGTTAAATAATGATCGACAGTTGTATACTGAAAATCAATCAAATGAAAGTTTTCCTAAAGATATTGAGAAGGTTTTTGCGTTGGCGGATGATCTTGCATCTAGAACAATAGATCTGAATGATGTCAATGATTTTGAAGAAGAATGTGGGAATAAAATTGAAAATCTTAGGTCGACTCAAATTACGAGTAATAATATTCCAGTTTCAGAAAAAAACGTCCTATATTCGAACACGGATGAAGGACACGAAACATCGGTAGCGAAAGATAAAATTAACATTGATACTGCGTTGCATGAGCCAAAATTAGGTTCACATGAAGATATTGAAAAGTCTGAGAAACGGAATTTTAATAGTATAAATAACATGCATGCGCCGATGCAACAGGAACAACCACTTAAATTGCAAGAAGACGAAAATGTTGATTCGATCGATTTACCAAATGATCAGTTCATGAAACAGAATGATAATAATTTACATGATGAGGAGAATTACAAAGAACATGATACTTATGTTTCAAAGAAACCGCAAAACGATCAATATTTCTCTGATATCGCTGAAGAATTAAAACCACAAAATTTAGATTCTGCTCACAAACAGGAAGATGAAATAGAGTTAACTGAAAAAGCTGAAGATAAATTTGGCGAAAGTAACATAATTATCAATGATTCTGAATTTAATCAAGAAAATGTTACTGATGTTGAAACAATAAATGAAATAAAGCTTGGGGAAAGTCAACTAGAAAAGCAGGATTCTAAACAGGAAACAAATTTGGGTAACACAAATGATCAATTATATCTAGCAAATAATGATTATTCTGAATTAGAAAAAGACACTGTAGACAATTATGAAAATGAATTAAATGAGGTTTCTGTTTTGCCTGATAAGAAATTGGAATATGAAGATTATTATAAGAACAATGAGAATATCACAGAAAATCAAGAATTAGGTAACTATGAATATACTGAACAGAAAGAATTTGATAATGTACAAGAAGAAGAATGCTATGATACAAATCAAATATCTGATATAAATCAAAATAATACAGAAGAAATGATAATGCAAGATAAAGATTATAATGAAGATTCTAATCAAGACCAAAATTATATGCATGATTTTGAAACACAACAATTTAAATCAAATGAAGAATACAATTATGATCAAAATCCTTCATATGAAAATAATCAAGATCTAAATTATGATCAAAATGTGTCTCCTGATGGTAATCAGCAGCAGGAGTATACAGAATACATACAAGAGTCAAATGAACAGTCTGAACCTGAAAATCAATATGAACAAGTTTCTAATGTGCAAAATGAAGAAAATTTAAATCAACAGTATCCATCTTATGAACAACCTAATGCAGACCAAGCTGCTGACAAAGGAGCAATTGAAACTGATGATCAGTCTGTTGAATACATGGGTAATGATAATTTTAATCAGTCAGAAATTATACAAGAAGATGAAGATAAAGAGGGTTGTAAATATGAACAATCACAACAAGAAGAAAGCAATCAGAAAGTAGAAGTTTCAGAAACATTTAACATGCCCCAAAATAAAAATGTAAAACCAATAGCTGAAAATGAATCAAACCAAAAGAAGGATGTAATAAAATCTTTATTAGATTCTGACACAGACAGTACAATTGAAAGGAATGTTTCAAATGCAGAAAGTGATTTTGATTTTAATTGAAATGCAAAAAATTTGAAAGCAATTTTGATTGAAATTTGTTTATAGCTTCATATAATTGTTACATTTTCCTTTTTATTTTTTTAATGCCAAATTAGATGTGCTCATAAGCAAAATAAGGCAATTTTGTAATAGTATTGAACACATCTTTATTTCTTCCAAATAATATTGCAGTTTTAATATATAGGGTACCCTATAATATGTTAAACCCACTTTAAGAATTCAGTCAGTGATTGAAAAGAGCAAAGAAAGTTCATATATTCCAACAGACCTTATTTACAAACTAAAGCAGTACATTTTATGTTGTATCATTTGATATTTGATTCCTTTTACAAAAGATGATTTCAAGGTACATAAAACATGCTTGTATGATAATATGAAGAACATCAAAAGTCTTTAGAAAAAGTGGTATTAGTATCCTTTATTAGAGTGCTTATAATTCAAAATTCACCATAAACAAATAGGACATATTTTATATGAAATTTTTTTATTGTTTTCAATTTCTAAAGTGAGTCCTACATATTATGAAACATCCAATATACAACATATATAAATGAAAATCTGAAAGGCAATTTATATTTTTTTTATAATTTCGTAAGAAACTACTATTTTTCAGTTTATTTAAAAACCAGTCCGTCCATGATTAAATGGTAGAGATTTTCATAAAATCGAACAATACCAGCATGCGTCAATTCTACAGCGCACATTTCTTGCACGTAGTTAAATTATAATGTTAGAACATTTTTAAGGCCGAAGATGAAACATTTAATTCAGATGCTTCTAAAATATTTTTATGTTTATTGTACACTAAATAATTTTACTATATTGTACATTTTTCAAACAGATTTATATTTTATAACAATGAGAGGAAAATACAAATATCTAATAGCAATATGCAAACATTTTTAGATCTACAACTAAAGATTGTAAAATAACAATGTATGATTTAATGTAAAAATTATTAATTAACTCTGCAAACTGTAAACAATAAATAAGACAAGGTTTATGTTTATGATTACGTGTGAGGTTATATTTTGTCCATTGCACTATAACCTGTTCAACAAAAGATTGTGCATTGTTCAGACACGATTTGCGCAACGCGGCTAACTTCAATTGTTTTCCTACCATGTCAATACTAACAATTCTAAAATTTTTAAATCTCCAAGCTTTCAAATATCCAGCTTGACAAATTCCCAAATTGTTAAATTGCTAAATTTTTAAGTTAACCTTTTTGAAATTCTTTAAAAAACTTAAATCTAAAGATTCCGTTTTGCAAGTTCCAGACTTTATACGAAATAAAAGACCACTGGATATATGCATTTGGCGCCATGCAAATTGTAAATGCGCATGCGCTTTGATGTTGATTGCGAAATGTGGTCGACCAATTAGAGATAACCTGCGCAGAACGAATGAAAACTCGTACGATAAGTATAATGGTTTCTCGTCGAACAGAGTATGCATATAGTCTACCTGGAGCGTGAACCGAGGGTGTGAAGTTGGGTCTCTTTGTTGGAAAGAAATAGATAATAAGTGGGATTGTCATTTCATTCTTACTACGCATGTGTGAAATATAGTCCACACAATTGTCTACATCCATGCACCATAAGCAGTAGGCGCACTAAACCTTGAAGATATCAAGAAGTTTCACGTGGTACACAAATCAACTAATATGATTACTAAAATAAATTCGAAAAATCAAATGCATTAATATTGCTCATGGTTACCGTTTCAAAATTGGTACTGCAAGTTGTATTGTTATGAATGGTGACATAGCGTGCACAACCGAGAATAAACGTCGCTTGTGCTTCGTACTTTAATTGATACGATTCATTGTAATTGAAAATCTATTGAAATTAATTTTCAGTATATGTACAAATTTATAATAGGATTATCAGTTAGAAAAGAGATAGACTATCAAACATCTATTCTCTTTCTCTTGACATCATCTCTACTACTTCCAACCGGAATTCACGCTCTCCAGGTAGGCTATATCTCAATGATTTTGTCTACTGAAAATATAATAAAGACGTAATGATATATATTAATTCAAGGGTACATTACGTTGAAAATGATTGAAGTTAGTAATACTTTACTATAAATTTAAACCAATTCATATGTGCAAATTATTGTTTCGATCGATTTATTCAAGTTTGTACGAAGGTCTGTGAGAAAGTAGGTACGATCCTATTCGACGCATCGTGGCTGAAATGTGTAGTGACAGTCGGTGGCTAACAGCACGTTCCAGCATTTTAAAGATTTTGTATACGGTGTTCTTTATTTAAAAGTGCTTTGTGAACATTTACTCGAATACATTTTTGTTTCTACTTCTTTAATAAAATACATAATTTTATGACAATCGTGTACATAATTTATCATCAAATTATGACGTAGTGATTTTATTGGCTCTATACGAAAAGTGATTAAAAGACATATTGAATGCTCCTGGGAATACATACGTTCATTGGAACATTGAATATTGATAAACAGTGGTCCCTGATTGTTTCACTCACAATCAGTGTTTACCATTCATAGTTAGCAATCACGTTTTATCTACTTGTCAAATGTTGTTTCTAATTGATTGAAAGTGAGAATTTATTTTCCAATTCGTGATACTGTAAGGAAATTAAACAACGTTTATTTTATCATTATGCGTTAACAATATTATGCACTCTCTTTAATTAGCCAATTAATTTTGAATCAATTTAAAATCGTTTTATCTCGCAAGATAAACATTGACATCAATTAGGTTTAATAGGAATATTGCACGTACTATTTTATAATATGTAAAACGTATTTAAACTGATTTGCAACAGTTGATAATTTTCTTCTTTTACTACATGTGGCGTATAATATATCCGGAATATGGTAAAATTAAAAATTTGCATGTTTTTTCATTAAAAATTAAAAAATTTACTATTTCTTCAACATTACAAAATTCTAATATTTTTCCGATCATTTTTATTTTATATCGTAATAGTTAATTTTGAACAAGCTAAATCCATTTTTGGACATAAGATGAAATATAAAGTAAACTTAATTTTTGTCGGAAAACATTAATATTTACTTATTTACGTACATATAAGGTGACGAAAAAGTAGGTGGTGAACTTTGGTACCGTATTCCAAACTGTAATACGTAAAACATGAAAAAAGGTCATGTAAATATAGATCCGGAAATATATCATTTACGATGTATAAATACTCTGTGATTGGAGTGCTTAAAACTCGGAGAAGTTGCTTAAAATAATTTCCTCATCCAATTAAGTATAATCTTTTCAATGTCAAAATACTTCACTCTACTATATTATTAACTCCTAATAGAACAAAATTGGTGACGCTTCTACGCAATTCATATAATTCGAATTTCGATGTAAATAAAAAGTTGTACGTCGACAAGGAACTGTTTCTAGCTCTTTCCTTTCGCCCTTATGAGTAAAATATGTTACCAAAGTTTAGTTATCAATTTTCCGTATGTACATATGTTTTGAGTGGTTTCGAAATTTTTTTATACGTTTCTGACGTCATCACTTTTGTACCAGAACAGCATTGTTAGAAGTGGCAATATATGTACATACATTTCCAGTTTAAATAATTTTCCCTTTTTTACAGCCTTACAGCAATACAATAAAATTCGAATAACGAGATCAAACTGTTGATCGTTTGAATTCGAAACCATACAGGTTCATAGTCTATCAAAAACCCATTAAAATGTGAGGGAAACATTTAGAAAATTGCCTTGTTGATTACACTGTTTTGGACAGAACAAACTTTTAATATTCCTTTTATTTATACGCTTTTATTTTACCTTGAAAATTAGTATGTTCAAGGACGTGTTCTTGTGGCAGAGATTTTATCGTTCACCAGTGGATGTAGAAAAAGAGGGAAAGGAAATATAAAGTGCATAGGCTGGCGTTTTCCTCTATGTCACTATTTTTACTTTGTTGTCCTAAGGCCTACCCTGTGGCACACTGATGCCCTGAATCATCAAGGCCTGCACAAGAGGGTCATTGACACATAAAATATTTGTCTTGAAATTCTCCTTGACTCAAATGTTAAATACTGTCAATTATTTATAAAAGCAAAAAGCTGAATACGTTTCACAAAATCATCTGAATGTTCAGATCATTTTTTCAGGCTTTCGAATATTATCGAATGAGATCACGGCGATATTCGAGCTTTATTCGGATTTATCAGAATGTATGATCTTAATGATATTGTATGTAATTGTTTCCTGTAGCTGTTGAATACAATGACGATTTTACGTTGACATAATTTGAGGTTGAAGTTTACCGTCGCGAAAAATTAAATCGTGCATATTTACAGAAGCATGGAGGATCTAGTATACGTAAATGGTGTGAACGATATAAATGGTGGAACCGATAGAATTTGCTACGAAATAAGCGGAGAAGGTGATGCTGACAGCTCAACAACAACGCACGATGTTGACCACCATCGCGATCGTAAGTTACATTTTAATATTTGGTTTGATATTTTAAATAAATATTTGATGCGTGACATCATTTATACCTTATAATTTATTTTTTACTTATTACTTTTTATATATTTTATGTTGCTCCTTATTTTTCACCTATTCGTTTTACCATTTTTATCTTTAGCAATTTCTTATTTATTCGCCCATTTTATTCCATTCGTTTCATCATTTTTATCTTTAGCATACGTTTAGCATTACATATTTTAATTTTTTTCCATATGTAGACTAAGTTGTACAAGGTATTCTAGAAAACATTTTAGAAAATGTGGATAATTCTGCTTTACAAATCAACCCCCATTTAAGGGCAGTTATTCAAAAGTTTTTGAATTATTTACTCTTGAAGTTACCTGCACAGATTAACCCTAGAATGAACGTCACATAGACTGATGCGATAATTAAGTATTTGAGTTATTAATAAATCAGTGATGTTTATCGCCACTTTAGCTGATCATTCTGACGTAAGAAATGACATTTGTCATCGAATAGCTGATCAAACTAAACGTTTCAGTTCTATAAACGTTTTTAGTCTGTGAGACTGATGTGATCAGCACTATTACATCTCTTTTAAGCATGCATTGTTAGAAAATTTATAATCAGGTGATCCGTAATTACCTATTACAGCGGTTCTCAACACTACCTCCACACGTAAATGCGTTTATAATGCTATTTGCATGATAAAAAATATACATTTTCACGCTGTAAAAATTATATTTATGCATAATATTTTTATAGTGTTCTTGCTTTTTCTTTTTGCCTATATTATTTATTTTATTGATCGATCATGTAAACATGTATCAGAACACGATGTCAAAAAAATCAGTTTGAGAAATATCTAACTTTTCAGTTCAAAATATTTCACAAACTGTTAATTTTTTTTATATTATCCTTTTTTAATTTTTTATGCAGAATGTTTCGAAAAATCAGTCCATGTTAAAAAAATATACCATCTCCTTTAAAGATGTAAACATGGCTTTCACAAAGCCTGACAAGGCTATCACAAGGTTAAATAGATGAAAACATGGTATGTGCTCCTTTATACAATTTTCGTCTAAAAAATTTTCACGTACCATTTATATTTTTTAAGATATTTAAAACTTGTTGAGCTTTTGGAACATTTGAGGTTTGAAAAATGGATAAAAATTTCAAGGAATATAAATAATCCTATACTTTTGGCTCTGTCCTTGTAGCTTTTTTAAAATTGTAAGAACATTACTTACATGTCGGCAACATCATGTTTCTTTTAGTATGATGCTACAATTTATGACCAAATTGCAAAATTTTTTTCAAGATACTGTTTTCTGTTTGTTTATTAATAAAAGATCTTTTTTTAAATATTTTTAT